GAAGTCTTAAAACGCAGAACGCCGTTTGTACCGTCTTTGACTGTTACATTACAACCTCCTAAAGCTCTCAGCCATTTCAAAACGGTTAACCTTAAATTTAGTTGGAAATAAATAGGTAAATAGGTAAGTTGACATGTCAGAAGAGAGAGAAGAAGAAGACACTGTTTTCAAATGCTGTACATCTTGTTCAATAAGGCCGGTATCTCACACCCAAAAAGTGATGACTCAAATGTTCTGGCCAATTAACACAAGGAGCTCGGTGTCAGGTGCCATTGAATACAAACATTACCAGGACCAGATAAACACGTCTACAGAGGGTCTTCTGCACAAAAACTAGATGAACACAGGTAGCTTTAGAAGGTAAGACTGGATGTACTCAAAATTTCTATTCCACTCATATGTATCCAGATAGGTTGGGAATTAGTTGATTATTTGCTTAAGCCCATTTCCAAGCAAATGCTGAATAATCTAATCCGATTAAACACCTTTTAAGAACTCAAAATATATAACTCACTTGGCTAAAAGTGGACTTCAGCATTTGAGGGACTCCTTTGAGAGGACGAAGCTTTCTTGTGTAAACGGAACGAATGGATCAATTTAATTTAAAGACTAAGTTCCCTATTGATCGGCTGTTTTGTGGCTCCTGGACGCCGGACTGCAGCGGTCAGACAAATGGACATAAAGACGGACGGATGGATTTTCATAGAGACGCTCATGACAACCGTGAGGTCATTCTAAACAAACTAACAACTCACTTTATGACGCAGACCGGGGCTTTATTCAGCGTCATCACAACACGCTACTGTGATCCAGCTGAAACTATTACTTACCATCACCCTTTTGTTACTTATCAAAAGTATTAACCGTGCGGGTTGGCCAGCTCAGTACGTTCCAGTCTACTTTTCACATAATTAACAGGAAATAAAAGGTTTATTTTCTTCTTTTTTTTTTTTTTTTAAAAAGGACAATACGCTTCACTCGTATCCAACTACAAATCAGCCAGACACTTTGAAACAGCGAGCAGAGCGAGGGCCGTGCTGCGTTACGTGTCAGCTGGGGTGGGGCAACGGATGAGTCAAGTGGGCAAAAGCTGTTCAAATACAGAGCCGCTTCATGAAAGGATGTTTCTCCTTTTGTTTCGGTGACGTAAAAAGGCATTGATGCGGTTGATACTGTAATTATTAGTAGTTTTATCCAAGGGTACGAGATGAGACGCCTATACGTTTCGGTAGGACGCCACTCAAAATTTCCACCCAGAAAATAACTTCAGGAGAACTAAAGAGAGAGACCCCTGTATTCATCCCAAACTAAATAAACAAAGACATTTCCCCTCCCTTTGATTATAATGTCACACAAGCGTACAACGTTATAGGCAATGACGTCACTGAACCATGGTGGGATATGAGAAGAACATGTGATTTGAGTGGCCTCCTCCCCCTTTAAACACAGAGCCCACTGATACTGTAACTTTATACGCCCAAACTACATATTCAGACCAGGGAAGCGCTCTGGTTTGAATTAAAAGCCCCTCGTTTTGTTCCTGGCTCGTTGACTGAGAGTTTAAAAAGAAGTTATAAATGAAATACATTAGATTTACAGATGTTTCAGTGATCACTCCGCCTGGAAGTTAAATGAAGCTACTGAGGGAAGCATCGACTTATCGTCTGACGCAACCGGCTTGGGGATTTAAGATTTCTGGTTTAAAATAAATAAAATAAAATAAAAATATTCACAGGATTAAAACAACTCATAAAAAAAGAAAATCTGATTTAAAAAGGCGCTCATCAGATTAATAAAAAGGGTAAACATCGTTACTCTTTTAATGTGAGTTCATGAATACCTCCCATTGACGTTACCTCTCTTGTTTCGGTTAAAACTTCATAAATAATGGCAAAATATATATATGAATAAATCGAGGGACTACTTACCGCTTTGGGCATTTCTCTGCTCGTTTTCCCCTCGCCCTGTGCGAGGAGGCTGTTGGATTAAAATTGAATTTAAAAAGTGCTTCCAAAGAAGAGAAGAGAGCTCCGTGTGTCCTCCTGCGAAGAGAGAAAGAAGAGAAACGAGTTTGAGCCTCTTCGGCGTCACTTAAACGCAGCTCGGCACTCCTGCTGGTGACCGCGTTCGGGATGAATCACCGACTGGGAGCCGACAAGCGACCGGTGACTACCGGAAGCGACTCGCTCCACTTCAAAATAAGAGTCCGCGTCCTTCTGAGCAGTCGTGTTCCTAACCAACCTCATTGTTTAAATGTGTTGAGCCGGATAACTCAAATCGAATAACACAACAGGTGAAAAAGACAATTGTGCTTTGAGTGTTGATTGATACCTCAACTATCGTGTTATTTATCTTGACTATCAACAGTCCGAACGTGGTGAAAAACATCACATATTCTCAATTCCCATAAGACAAGTCTTGAATTGCTGACAGTGCTCACTCTAAAGCTCAAATATTATATTTTTGTGTTTTTTTTTGCTTTTTTAATGCTTAAAATATTACTTTTGGGGTTTCACTAACAATTTTTAATCAATTTCAAACATATATCCTATTAATCAAATACTCATTTAGTGTACATAATGTTTGACTTTAGGGGAAAATAACTGCTTGAAAAAAAATCACATTTTTTAACAGAGAGACACATTTAAGAAGCTAAAAATATAAATATTATTCGCCAATTTTGCACAAAGAATCGATTTATGAGAATGACCCTGATTAATGCATCTTGTAATGAAATACACAGGTACACCTCTCTGATAAAACAAATATCCATAAAGTATAAATGATTAATCCATATCTGTTTTCATGGCATTGTATTGAATTATATTCTGTGATTTAACACCGGAAGTCGCACCTTTCTATTTTCCCTTGACGCATTCGCATCACCTACACACCATGGAGGTTAAATATGCCACTCGACGTGCCTCACCCACTAGCTATGATACAAGTTATGGTCCCCGCCCTAACCTGTAACCTTTTGCGGTTGTAATAATGTCAGAAATTGGGACAAAGTCACGCTTCCCCGCGTATATTTCCGCTTCAGGTTTACGTTCGCGGTACTTGTAGTCGCGCACACCCACAGCGACAGGGAAGCGATCGAAGCTCAGCAAACGAGAAATTTATTTCACAACGGACATTTATTTCACAATAAAACAAGTAGTATATTATATTAATGGTGCCATCGCTTTAGTGCGGGCGCTTCCTCTATGCTGCAGTCATCCTCACTGTAATCCCGCTGACACCTGTTGTGAGAGTTTGTCGTGCAGAGCCGCGGAGAGTGCGCAGGGTGGGGGGAAAAGTGCGCAAAAAAGAAGTATGTTTTCACACCTCCGAGCTCGTTGTCCTGCAAGCTGCAGTCGGTGAAAGGCGCAGGTAGTTCAGTGTCTTACCTGAGCTGATGCGGTTCAGAGGTGAGGTGACTGTCTGCAGCGCACAGCGGCAGATTCCCACTTCCTCGGTTCAGACCAGCGCAATATGGCGCTCATCGCTCCCGCTGCGGAGATCCTGTTGCGTCTGTCCCCGCTGGTCATGGGGAGCGCAGATTCATTGCCGGGGACAATAGATCCGGGATTTTGGGGACATTTCCATTTGGCCTTTCCAAAGCGATTTTAGGGCAGGGGATTTTTGTAGGTTTGAATGCAAAATCAGTCAGAGAATTATCACATGTGTGGGTGGTTGGCATGGAAACCAAAGGTTCAAAACTCAAAGAGGTCAATATTGAAACATAAATTGTGCACAATTAGTTTAAATCAATAAAGGCTTAAGCTACTTTGTGGTAGTACTCAACCGCATTATAATATACATATTTACTATGTATGTGTCTTTCGTCATTTTTAATTTATTGTTTGAATCACACTTTTGTTTTTTCATAGACAAATATGGGACTGACAGGACAAAGGTACCTCCTGTATTCCCGTAGTCCATATAATTGTTCACAAATCAAATCATATCACATACTGATTTCGATGTGTATGAATATATGAATAATATATATATTTAATTAAGTCAGCCCAGTATTTTAAATTAAGCCAAAAATGGTTTGTTTAAAGAAACGACTTTTTTCAGCTGTTCAACACCATTATTGGAATGGTAACTGTTAACTACATTAGTCTAGTTGAATACATTATGTGTCACCTATGTAAAGACCAACGTGGCACCTGTCCTCACCAATGATGCAACCCTGAACAAACTTTATTTGTTTCAGAGTTGCTCACTGGGGGAAATGTTCGTCATCCGCCCTAGAGAGAAACCGAGAAAGTGCTGCCGAGGGAGAGGGGGTGGAGCCATGGGTGAGCTGGCCAATGAGGTGACTGGATTAAAATAGAGCCGTATATAGCGGAGGTCAGACCTACTTTTCCTCATAACACGAAACCGGAGTGATGTGACAGCCCTGCCCTCCACTTTGTAGTAGATAGACGTCCATCATCATTAGTGGCCCTTCCTTAAGGATACAAGTTGTTTAGCCTTTTGAAAATTAATGTTACATTTGAGAAAACATAACATATTCCAGCCATTTCAAACATGAGGAAGATCGAACAGGCATCAACTTTAATGACCTGTTTTGTTTGTTTGGCAAGTGGAATTTAGCAGACTAGGGAGTCTGTCAGAGCAATGCAAAACGTTGTTGAATTTGCCTGTCACAGCGTCTCAATGAACTGTTTTCAGGGCGATACCCCATGTAAATAGATAACGTTCATAGGAAGGCACTTTGAATGGCCCTCTAAATATTTGGAGTTTATTTGAACCTGTTGCTAACCTCCGGTATGACTAATCTCGTCCGTTGATTCATTCTTTTTTTCAGAACTTCAGAGGCAGCAAATAGAAGATTTACAACAAATCTGTGCAGGCAATGCATACCAAATCTTATCGTCCGAGTTTAATTGGTTTTGCAATTACGAATAAAATTTCACCCTGCTATAAGATCTAATTAAATAGAATATGAAAATCAAAGGTTTTTTGTAAGATAAATCCCTTCATACTGACAAAAAAAACAAATTCTGTGAGAGGCAACTCAAGTTAGTTTATTCAGTCACATTTTAGTTTTGAGAATACGTTTATGCCCTTGGCCTCAGAGAGACGTCGTTACTGCGTCTCTTTAAACATCTCCTGTCTCTTCTGGACGACATCGTAGATGATATCTGAAAGAAAGAGGCAAAGTGAGGACTTTTCTGTCTGCAATATGTTTGATATGAATTACTTCGGTAGTATTTTAAAATAACCACTAGGTGGCACTCCAACAATGTTCTATGACCTGATGACCCCTGCAGGAAGTTTAGCAAAATACCTTTCAGCAGTCAGAGGTATTACCAAACATCTTCCTGACCTCCAACAACTTTGACCTCCAAAGAAGATTATGTTTGTAGCTGTAATTTGAGTATTTTGAGGCTGGATAGCGTAATATTTTAAAAATAAATTATAGTTTGCTGATAGTTATCAGCACAAAATATTGTGCATTAGAAGGTCTGGGGATATAAATCTTTCGACCATTTATTGTTTTTTTAATCCAAAATCATAATGGGAGCAGGTAAGATTTTTATATGTGTATATTCAATCAAATGAGGCTTGTTGTTTCTAAGCTTTTTTGTCATAGTAATAAAATAAATGCTGGCTTAGCAGATTGTCTGAAAACAAAACTTGGTGAAAAATTATGGATGAGGCATTTCGGAAAACAGGTTATTAAGTAAGGGCATTTCACATCTGAAACAATGCAATGTCTTCCAAACAGCAAAACAAAACACTGTATTCTCTTACTGTCCAGCAGAGTTCTTGCTGTGTTTCTCCGTTCCAAACTGTTGTTGACTTCATCCATCAGCCACGGCATGAAATTAGTCTCAATATCTAGAAATTAGCAACCACAAATATGATAAAAAAGATTAAACACTCATATTAAAATACAATAAACTAGTCTACCACTAGTCACAATCAGCCTACAGGTTTGATTAAATGTAAGCAGTGGGGTGCAGTACTGCCCTCATGTGTCAGGAAGCTGAGTTTGAATGTCAGATGATGGTGGAGAGCTGAGACTGACCATTCTGCACGGGGTCAAAAAAGTAGCCGTGGCTTCTCAGTGAGGTAAAGACCGTAGGAAGGAGGCCAGACAAGTACTCCTGCGTGTACGCCCGGACGGCAATCTTCTCTGCAACCTCCTTTTCTTTCTTCAGCGCCTCCTTCTGCTGGGCCATTCTACGTTCCTGAGGGGAGAAGATTGTGTTGTGTTTCAATTCATTTTATTTTGTATAGCCCAAAATCGCAAATTACAAATTTGCCTCAGAGGGCTTTACAGTCTGTACACATACGACATCCTCTGTCCCGAAACCACCATCGGCACAGGAAAAACTGCTTTCACAGTTGGTTTCACAGTGTTTACTTGCAAAACTTCCATATCCGCTGTTAATCAACCGATGCTAAATTAGCAGCAAATTGAACCTATGGCACAGGGCCATGTAGGACCACAATGCCTGTTTTCCAGCTAAGAAACAGACTTGTACTGAGACACTAGTCTGAAAGCAATTTCTCCAGGGTAACCTACTTTCTCCTCAGTGCGGCGTCTGTCCTGCTCCTGAAGCCTCATCACCTCTGCCAGCTCATTATTCCTGCGCTCTTCAAAGACCCTCTGCTGGGTCCTCAGATAGGCCAGCTCCTCCTCCTCCATCACCTCCAGGAGAGACTGTTCTATTACCTTACCGACCAGGACCTCCAACACCGGCTGCACCTCTGTGTCGAAGTCAAACAACTGCAGAGGAAAGTATAACTTTCAAACGCATGGCTTGACTTGTAAAACTAAAAAAAATAAGGCTGGATTTCACCAGGAGACCATTTAGAAAAATAACATGGGCTTTATGTATAGTTTATCGGGGGTTTCCAATTTGAATAAAACTGGTCTAATATGCTTTACTAGAAATATATAAATGCTATCGTGTGTCTAAAGTGTGGCCAGACCTCCTACTTGGATTACCTACCTCTCCCTCCTCTATCTGAGTTCCAACATCTTTGCCAGATTTGGCCGGTATGAAGAGTGGGGATGCTGGTCTGTCCAGGAAAGAATCCGTCTGGCACGCAATATCTTTGGCCACTGTGATGTCACTCAGCTCTTCGAGATAACACTCTGAAGGGGAAAATAAAATAAAAATTGTCCTTTGTTTGCGACAGCATGTTCGACAAACTCATAATCGTTTGATGTTTTGAAGCCCTTAAGAGACATCTTACTTTACCTGTTTGTACATCGATGTGTTTTCTGCCCTGCGCGGCCTCTGGCGTCCTGGTTCTTGACTGTTCCCTGCTTCGTTTTCGAGCAATATTTCTCCTCCTGATTTCCTGTTGTCGTTGTACTTCATCAGGGTCTGATTGAGCCGCCTGTCAAGATGGACAACATGCGTTTTAAGATAAAATGGCAGAAAGAAAAACAAACCCACCAGGCAGTAAACACATGAACATGAATGATTGTTACTTCATACTTACAATTGGTAGGATGCGTTGGGCATAAGTGTTTCCCCTGACAACACGAGGGTCGAACATAATGTTTCCATAGGTACTGTGTGTCCTACATTGTGAGAAAAAACACAGTGTGGTCCAACAGTCAGCTCATTCAGTGCCTCACCTTCTCTGCTTTACGGATTTGTGTTGTGCTGGTATTAAATTGTTTAATAAAGGGTCATTGGAGATACTTTTGGGGGATATTCTTTTTGTCTAGTATGTGGCAGAACGAGTACAGACAATACCTAAAAAGAAATAAACATGAATATGAATAAGCTTAATCACAAAATGATCCAAAAGTGTTTTTGGCAATATGTCAAGTAGTACTCATGGGCAGATGGGCTCTTTTTTTAGTGTTAACTAAATCCTTATTTAAATACTATTAATTAAATTTGATTATTTATGAGTTCATGATTACATATCATAAATTCAAGAATGAAATACTTTATTAGCATTATGCAACAGTGGGATTTAATGTTGCACGCTAACATGAGCTGCTTAACTTTATAATTTCACCAACAGCTACACAGGTTTTAAAAGGCCATTTACTTAATGTACTACAACTGTCATTGCAGAGAGATAACTTTACCACATTTCCCTCGGAACTGAAGCTCACATTTGAAATTAGGCCAGATTGTGACGTAGCTAGGTCACCCTAGCTACGGTAGATAACTGATAGCGCCGAGCTAAAGCATGAGCAGCAAACGCACTGTTCGGGCGGAGGTTTTCCGTATCCGGAGCGGTTCTCCACAGGTCGGGGTCGACTTGAGTAGATGTAATTTCCGTTTGGATCTCTTTGGACTCGTGAAACAAAAGTCATTTTCAACTAGGCGCCTTGGTGTTAGTTTTAATATTTAGCAAGTTGACGCGTAAACGAAAAGACACGGCTGACTGTTGTTGTAGCAACCGTCTCCAGGAAGTGTACGGTTAACAGAGTGCTCTACGTCACTTCCTGTAAGAATATAAAGACGGGTGTTTCTTCCATCTCGGTCGCTATTACCATTACACATTTTAAAAGTAGCATATTTCTTACAAGGTTGTATATAAAAGAAAAGTTTTCTATATAGAATACTTTTGTTTTTTGTCAACGTTTCGCTGAAATGTGAGCTGCACGCGGTACTTAGTAATGGAAAGCAGGAACTCGAATGCAGATGATGTTAACCACAAACCCGCTCTACGTAAAGTCTTAATAGGATACGACGTGTCGAAACCAGGCTGTATTTGTGCGTACAAAGGTTAGAGCTTGTGGTCAAAGTGAAAAAAAGGCACATTTGAGTTTGAGATATCCTTTTGCACTCAGTTTAGCATGTTTCATTTGTGACGCAGAAGATCACGATGGATCACAAATATGGCTATAAATTCAAAAAGTCCACAATTCATTCAGCCAAATACTACTTCCACCAGTGCTACTGCTACTGTTGCTAGTATATTAATATTACTAGAGTACCTCTACAACTAAATATCACCCACCACCGCCCCCAACACTACCACTACATTACTACTAGGAGTGTGCCACTAGCACCACTAATACTACTGCATTACCAGTACTACTACTAAAACCACCAATACCTCAGCCAAATATACTAGTGCTAATTTTACTTCTACAACTATATAGTAGTGTACTATTGCTAGTGCAGTATAGTATATTGTACGTAGGATATAGTATAATGCCATTGTGTAACACATTTTATATCCAAGTGAATCATCATTATGTAACAATTCCGGAAAATTGATCGTATAATCACAACAGACTCAGCTAAATATAGAAGACGACCATGTTCTTTTTCAAAAGGAATAATGAAAGTCTTCTAAGCCGTGAATATTGCTCTCCTTGCTGCACGCTTTATTCTTTATGCTTCGGCTGTCACAAATAATTAAGCACCATTAAAGGATAAACTGTTCATCCTGCTACTGTGTTGGCCTCCTCTCATTAGTGTTGAATGGAAGCCATGCGATTACGCAACAATCATGGCACATATTGATCCCTTTTCAGTTCCAAAATGCACTCAAAACGTCCTCTTCTTCTTTTTTCCCCTATTAATTCACTTTTACAAATGCACACACTTAAGTAGAGTATTTCTAGCATTTATCATTAAACACAGGAAGAAGCAGTAATGGAAGCACTGAACTAGAAGTGAGGTTAACACATAGAGGGTTACACGGATTGGCACACAGCATATGCAAAGTATTTATTTTTAAATGTGGTGCACGGGTAAAATCAAATACTAGCCAATGCACTTTTCCTAAATAACTACCATGCAATGCAGATGCAACCTTTTCTATAATATTTATGGAAACCAACTTGGTTTTAGTTTAACAACACACTTTCTTTTACACAGTTACCATTATAACATGGACAGTCCAAATAATATGTGTGATTTCTGTGATTCAAGTGTAGCTAATGTCCTGTGTACCACTATGATTATTTTCAATAAGGACTCAGTCAGGAGTAATTTATACTTAAGCAAGCTGTACAATATGTTTATTAGTAATCAGCTAAAGTGCAGCTAGTTTTGCAGTCTTGTTGCAATGAGCTACATTGACTTGTTGAGGAAGGGAACAATGTGTTAAAATGCCAAAGGAAGGAAGGAAGAGATGTGGCATCAGATACTTGTGCAGTCAGACACAGGAACTGCAATTCAGAGAAAAATCCAATCCACCTATGTGACCACGACTAGTTTCCTTCAGCTTCATATGTGCAAGAACTGGCTGTTCTCTCAATCGCTACTGTTACGCAACACGTCTAGCAAAGAGCAGTTGGGCCAAAACGAGTCGCCCTCCTCCATTTTCTCTCTCTCTTCTCTTCATTATTTCATCCGTTAATGATTTGACTGGGGAGCTTTTCAGGAAAACACCATTCAGCTGTAACTCAAGCTTTCTAAAAGAAAACAGTGAAAGAAAATTCTTTTACCTTGTTATTTATTTTATTATTTTTCTTTTTCATTTTTACCTGCAACAAATGATTGAGGAACAGCATGACTCTTGATGAGCCCCTGACAACGATTACACATCTCTCTGCATAATCTATCACAAGACAAAAACAAGAAAAGTGCTTTGATGTAGTGGAAGAAAAGACGCATGCAGGATGTACAAAAAGCAAGAACAAAAAAACAAGTAACACATCAAAACTCATAGCATGTTGTAAACACAGAGAACTGTGTTTTCATAGCTTCATTGTGGTAGAAATCGCTCACGTTACCTATATATTCTAAATGCTGTACTCTGAACAGTACTACTAAGAAAATGCAACCGCAGAGGCGGCACATAGCTGACATTCATACAAAGTGAAACAGTGACGCATTTACAGATTGGACTTTATGTACATATACAAGTGTTTCTGCTCCGTGGGCACAGCTTTAAAAACACAGCTTCAAAGGGGAAGGAGTCGCCGCTATTATGGAAAAAACATGTGAATGTTGTGTCTCTGAATGAAGGAAAATAAACGAACCTCGTCGGGTTTAAGAACTGGTTAATTAGGCTTTGCCCACGACATTCAACTAAAATAACTGTTTGTGTTTTCAAAATCGGATCTGCGAAAAAGTCGATCAGACGTAAGACTCCTTGGCGTAAGACAGATCCTCAAACACGGGCTGGCTACACCTCCGTGACACAACCTCGCGCTGACCCGCACACACCGACTCCGACATGGCCCTCTGGCGGAAGGCCTGCCGCTGCTCGTCAACGTGGGCTTTGTCCTGCGCCGCTTCGGCGAAACAGTCGGCGTGCTGATTGACCGAACACGCGGGGGGGAAGTCGTAGTTCAAGGAGGCCGGGCGGGACCTTCTCCCCAGCTGCACGGCGTCGTGCACCGTCATCGACCCGTACTGCGGGGGAGCGCCCATGTTCTGCACCGCCTGCTTGTACGACGGAGGCCTGCAGGGCAGCTTGCTGTCCACCTGCTTGAACACTTCGATGGCCGACAGGGGGCGGGGTTTATGCAAGAGCTCGGCTGGCGCATCGGCCTCGCTCTGAGAGTCCTCCTGGAGAGTTTCACAGGGGAAGGAGTTTTCCTTCTGAGAGTCTTTCTTCACGCTGTTTCTGCTGAAGGTCCCCAAGCTCCTCGTCCTCATCAGGACTCTGCTGGCGACTCTCATGGACTGCGATCGCTTCCTCTCCTCCGAATTTGGCCCGCCGATGTCCGGCTGGGCCTTCGCGGCCACTGAAGGCTGGTTGCCCGGCTTCCTGGGGCAGGCTGGCGACCCCACGGGGGAGCTGGTGAAAACGGAGCCTTCGGACTGATTAGAGGCCGCACTCTCGAGGGAAGAGCACGAGAGGTTACCGGCCATGTAGGGCAGAGGATCCATGTTGGACTTTCTGCAGAGTTTTGGAAAAGACAAGTCTGCTCTCGCTCCGTCTCGTCCTTTGAGCAAAAAGGAGTCGTCCGAGATCTGCTTCTTCAGAGGCTGCTCCCGGAAGTCTCTCCGCTCCACCGAGCAGTCGTCGTGGCTCCTGGAGTGGCTGCACAGGCTCTCGAGGTCCGCAGAGAGGAAGATGATGGGCTCGGAGCAGCGACGGGCGAAGATGGCGTCAGCCGGCCAAGACGAGGTGATGAAACTGGGACTGAGAGAGGAATATGATCCGCTCTCTCCGTGTCTGGAGCTGCTGCTCTCTGCCGCCTCGCCGTCTCCATCCGGGTCGGTGCTGTCATAGGCAGAGTCGTGATGCTGGGAGGACAGTGAGTCTGCTGAGTGGGAAAACAAAGACCTGATTGTTATACTAATTCAAGCAGTTATTAATGACATCAACAATGTGACACATAGGGTCAGAAAATGAGAAGGATCATATATTATTTATTTACTTGATGATTTGCTCAAGGGAAGGTGTTCAGCCAAAACAGCAATACCCATTATACTTTATTTCATTGATTTCTTGCAGGATTCATTGTAAATAAAGATGAAATTCATTGTTGCAGCAAGAAGCAAAACAGAACGCAACTTCCTCAATTCCACTCAATATGCCCTTAAAATTGATTGTTTTTGACCACTGGTCCCCACCACAATAATAGAGTAATGACAAAAACTCGAGTGATGTGCAAATGTACCTTCATCAGTATCCAGCAGATTTGGGATATTCTCTCCCAGTATCTCACAATGCTCAATCAGGAACTGTGTTAGCTCAGTGACCTGCAATACATAAAAAAACAATAAGTCAAAATAATAATAATAATATTACAAATGATCAAAAAATGATACGAAAGCATTACAAGCAATTCAAAGCTGTGGTTCCAACCGGATACAGTCAAGATGCAGCGCAGCGCCTCCATTGACCGAGATACTGTGTTTGTGTGCCAACTCCACAAACAGGTGACAAAAGCACTGCAAGTGGAACTCGGTGAAACCTTTTTGAGGTTTTCTGCACCGAGAAACCGCAAAGCTTCAAAGAGCCAAAACCGAGAGGAAACATTCATAACAAATATCTCTCACCTTCTTCATCTTCTCCTTCTGCTCGTCCAGCGGTGTGCATTCCAGCTGCAGCAGTGTGGGGGCGATACACACCGCCAGGTTGTAGGCATCCATCTTGTTGCTCTCAGCGTTTTGCAGGATGTGATGGAGGACGCAGACTAGATGCTGCAGGAGGAGTTTGTTGTGTCGTGGGAGGTCGTCTGCCACCCTGCGGGTAGCAAAGGGGGAAGGACAGAAAAAAAGAGAACAGGAAAGAAGACATTAGATTGGCGCTCAAATTTTTTTTTGTTTTTTTTTCAATTCAAAGTCTCTTCCTTATTTTAAACTGAAGAGCGACTCAAAATGGGAAGTGGGGTTTTTTCAGCAGACAGATTGGAACACATTGGACAGCACATTGGAAATCTCTGACGAAACGCAACACTAATAATGTCCATCTGTTTACTTTTGATCACTTAAGCAGCCACGAGAATTCCAACAGATTTCCTTTCATGAAAAAAATTCCTATGTGAATGAATAAAAAAAACCATAACAGATAAAAACACGCTGGGCGCCCCAGTTGCTGGTAAAGGGCACTCCACTCATTATCAGGTATTGATTTCATACCTTTTAATTTCCACAGCTCTCTGCTGGAGGTCTTCTTTGTCCAGAGCTGCCATCCACTTGTCATAAAGATCAGACACCAGCAGGCTGCCGGGAAGTTCCTTTAGAAAACTCTGCAACAAAAACAAGAAAGCGAGACGATGAGACGCAGCACTTAAATAGAAGGGATCTGATGTGACATTCAAACTGAATTGGTGCTTGTTTCTAAGATTGCATGTGGGGGAGAAAAATAAAACATAAAGTCACAGAGAAGGGACCTCACGTCGCACATACTGAAATATATTATGCCTAAATAGATATAAGAAATACTGTTATGGTGGTGGCACAGTGATTGATAGTAAGTATTTTAATTGTATATGACTTTACACATCTGAGGCAGATTATAACAACTTTAACCCCAGCGTCAATGCTACCACTTCATTGAGTATATGTGAACGCTAATACATTTATACTGCGATTCATTAGAGAGGTCAGCTGCAGCAGCAGCAGCAGTGATTGTGGTGGGGCGGAGCATTTAAGGCTCAGCAGGTACTGCAGCAGCGGTGTTTGCATACGGACGTAACGTTAACAGTGGTGTTCACGGCGTAATGTAAAATAGAAATGTGAATTTACTTTGAGCAGCCCGACCAGCAAAAGCACCGGCTGGCCCCCCAAGTCCACCTCCAGGCCGCTGTTCAGCTGCTCCCGGATGTCCCGCATGTTCCTGTTGTGGCAAGTTCTCCGAAAGACTCCCTCCGTGGACGGGCCTCTCTTCCTCAGTTGCACCATCACCTCCTGGTGGAAAAGACAAATGAAGAAATGTTTTCTAGGTGCATCAGTTTAAGCTCTTTGTCTCTAAGGCAAACTCGACCGGCAGGAGGAAGTAATGAGATGTGACATTTGAGAGCTTAAACTCACCATGACTGGTTTGGGAAGTGAATGTTCATCCGTGCATATTTTACAGAGGGGCTGTCCGAAGAGCTGAGTCTTGGTATCGGTATCCGATCGGCCTGGTTTGTTGATGAAACTGGAGCCCTTCCTCAGCCGCCTCACCAGGTTCCACTTGGTTTCTGGTGGGAGCAGAAATATCCCATTCAACATTTGATGATCCCCGAACGTGGCAACACAAGATTGGCAAGATGGCCAACGTGTCAAACAGTTTTCTGCACTTCAGTAGTCTGATTTCCCCTTTTCTGTCTTGTGGTGGTTGTTGCTCTGAGGTCCCCTCTCTACCCGTGACACAATCCACCAGCCCCTCCCCGCATCAAAACTGCCACTTTCAAACTCACCGGTGGAATGCTTGTCCTCCAGATTATTCATCTGCTTGGACGCCGGGCAGATCTTTGCATCGCCCTGGTAACAAAATACATTTGATGTCAGAGACGTGGCGTCGAGCGCGCAAGAGGAACTGCATGCAAATAGGGCGGAAGGGGGAAGGGTGTTGTGTTTTCTCAATCGCCCAGCAACACGCACACCCTTGTATTACTACTAACTACTAACACATGAACAAGAGTTAGAGTGAAGGAAATCCTACGACAAAAGACGCTTGTAGAAGCCGGCGATCAATCGCATGAAATATTATTTGATCGCCCTTGAAATGCGATTCAGGGGTATTTTCTTTGCCGTATGTGCAGACTGATCTCAGCATGAGGTGGAATGGCCGGTTTGACGCACAGGTGTAGGTTTATTCTCAAGAAGCCAGTGAAATGGGGGTTTTACTCACATCGAGGGGAAACTCAATGAATTGTTCCATCCCACCTCCTGTTAGAGTTTTCGTCTAAAAGAAGAAAAAGAAAAAAGAGATTATTTGCTAAAAAGTTCATTTTTGAATTATATTTTGGTTTCTTTTGGACGTGGCAGAGCGAGCGGTGAGAAACTTACTGTGATGCTGCCACTCAAAACCTTCATGAGGACGTCGGGTTGGGAAGTACAACCAGCTCTCGCTTTTGCGTCTTTAATTTGTCTGTGAAAAGATACTCAGAAATTCACAATCCGCACTGAACTCCTCCAGTATTCACACTTTTTAGCCGATATTTGAACTCGATCAAACAACTCATAATCTGTTAATGTTGACTCATAATGTTTTTGTGAATAAATCAACAATAGATCATTATAATGCAATCATGTCGTTCTTTATTGATCTATTTTTTGATTTAGGTCAAAACGAACACTTCTCTTCAATATCTAAAGATGTTATCTAGACGCTACATTATCTGAAAATAATTATTGAAGCATTTCTCTAAACTTAAATTCAACTATTGTATAATATAATTTGATGCCTGCAACAATACTCAAAATGGTAGATCGACTATCCGACTGTAATCACTTATAAAAATCGAAAAGGCTATTAAGCCAAACAAATATTGATTATTAAAGACACGATCTGTAAATAATGTTCTTTCTTACCGGTGAAGAATATCTAACCAGCGTTCTTTCACCTCAGGCGAGCTGTGGGCAAAATAACAGCATGGTACGAGTTACTCATCCACGGAGACAATCAAGACACCGGCAGTGGGAGGAATGAGGCAAAGCGTGCACCCACGGCCTCTTTTAACAACTCTGGTGGAAAATGTAACACAGTCATGGACAGGAAGCAGCGTCACGGCGGCTCCCAACCAGACACCTTCCACTTCCTCCTAGGCTCGTTTTCGCTGCGGCTCGGTCCACGCGAGTGGAAACGTGACGGCGAAGGTACGCGTGAGTACGCGTGCACACCGGCGACTTTAATGTGCACGGGCCTTTGTTGCATGTGCATGTTGTGCCACAAATGTCTGCTGTCTTTCACGGTCATCACCCTGTGAGCGAGAGGGAAACTTTCCCACACACTGAATCATTATGAGAGACAGACCGAACATTCGGTAAAGAAATGAAAACTCAAAGCCCCGTCGGGGTGGTGGGGGGGGTTCATCAACTTCTTGGAATACACAGCATTTGTCATGTTTTTCTGTTTTGATTTATTACTTTTTCAGGAAATGTGGGAGTCAACGAGCAACACAAATGACTACCACACTTCTCTGCTGGTGCCATTTGGTGCCTTCATGAGACAGATCGCTTTGATTAAGAAACGTTTCAGTCACTGACACTGTCCAGACAAAAAGTATGACACACTGTCTCTTATGTACTTCATCTTAATCGTTAAGGCTACGATTTAGGTAAATGAATCAGTTTCCATACGGATTCTTTTTTGGGGGGTTTATTATTATTTGCTGATGAAGTCATCTGATAGAAATCCCCTCGCATGTTTTGCTGGGCGGCTCCTCACTTCCTATTTTGCGACCTCGTGTCTTGTGATGCTACGACTTTCTCTTTGTCACTTCCCTGTTTCCATGAAGGCCACAGATCATATGACCTTTTACTGAATGTGTGAACATTCCTTGAACAGCCTCAGATTTAACTCATTTAATACCCGACGAAGAAAGACGGTTAATGGCTCTTTACCTTGGAGAAAGTTCTTGCAGAGCGTTTCATGATTTGAGACCGATGTCTCTGGAGCAAAATACAAGGGAACGACTCGGGGTCACATGATCCAGCGCCTCTAAAGATCACTAAGTTACACGAACGTGTCACATCTAGTTTGTTTGGTCTGCACAAAGACGAGAAAGTTAAGAGGTAAAGTTTGCTATAAGTTGAGCTCATTTCATTTAATCCATTTTGAGGCTTTTGCGAATTGTGTAAAAAAATGTACACAAAATCAAAATATCTTGGACATTTTTCACAATAGACATCGTGAGAACGGCATTGAATTCAACATGCCGAAAAAAAGACTCTGCACATATCTGCTCTTTTGTTCTGTGTTTGTCGAAGAGATTTTATCTCATCGTCATGTGATGTGAAGCCACAAGTGTTGTATGTCTGCGTTGCACAAGAAGCAAGGTGTCTAATCTACATCATGTTTCAGGGGAAAAAAATACTATAACCACGATCGTCTCTAATAATAACAAGGCTCGTTCCTGCTCTTGCCCACCCCCCTAATTCACCTCCAAATAAAGATCTAGTTATAATAAAAGTGAAGAATTCCATTCAAGAGGACAATTAGGGTACAAGAGGAAGTCGACCAACTGAAGCTCCTCTCAGCCAAAACGAGTCAATGTCCGCTCACCAGAAACACACCAGAGAAACGGTGAGATCCCAGGCCAAGACGAGCGTCACCCTGAGGTCGATGTCGCCCGTCGCTCCCTCCTCTCCCACCGCCTCATCTTCAAACCCGTAGAGCCAAACGTCCTGGAGGCTCACTCGGCGCTTCAGGCGGTAGCCGGTGGTCGACCTGCTCAAAACAAGAAGCAGAGAAGCAGACGACAGCAACTTAAGTAGTCCGTTCTGCTTCCATTCCCCTCGCATGTTTCTCAAGGTCAGAATGCAGGTTTCAGTTCCATTCGGAGAACCATTCTCCGCCTGAAAGGCTGATGTAAGCGGTTTCTATTTGATGTTTTTTTCTGTGTGTTTCTTTCATTGATCAGTGACTACGTTTCCTATCGGATGTTTCTGATTGTCGAAGCTTCAGTAGCTCTTGAACAAAAAGGAAACTGGAACTGAATAGCGTGTTTGAAATATCGCACGGGTCAAACTGAACCCTCAATTCAAAGTGGCTTCAAAACAGCTCCCACAAACGGTGCCCAACAAATGATTAGAGGGGAATCAATCCCAGTCAGATGTTTACAGCATTTGTTCGTGACCCCGCTGACCTCTGCGCGTCTGCAGCAGAGCCGCGCTGAGTGGATTCTGGAGCGCCAATATATTGAAGGTAAAAACAGAAAGAGTCAGAAAGGCAAGAAGGGAAAGGGGGCCATGCGCTTATGGACTCAGGAGGTGTTACGGCATGGAAATGATTAAAGAGAAGTCATGTGCGACTAAGCAGAGGTAATGTAGAAAGGTCGATGCTAGAACACATGATCCCCAGTGAGCGTTTTCCAATCCCCCGACCAATATGCTATTCCAACCAGAACCATTCGTGCGTCCGGACCATTTGTTCAGCATTAAGAAACAGCGGCGGGACGTGGGGGGAAATTTGAATGGAGAACCGCCACCGACCCGAGAACGGTGTCAACCAAAAACAAATGGAATATTTGTAAAAAGGTTGTACTGTTCTTTTAAGATCGTTATCCAGTCGATGCTAATTGGTGATGCTTATTCCCAAATCCCTTTTTACTTGAACTTATCAACCGACACAGAGAGAACCAAGTATTTTTTTGGTGGTTTCTGGGCTTCTGGTTGATGATTCAGCCGTCGGGGAGAATGTAATTAAAGGCTTTCAGGCTTTAGGAAGCTTCCTTTCAGAGACACAGCCTTGTGTTTTCCCAAGAGGCTCCTCATGAATAGTAAACTGAACAATGCAGCATACACAAACATCTCTCTGTAAGTGGTGCTCTACATATGCAATACATGTACATATGCATCTATTTATAGTTGAAAAGCCCCCCAACTGTTCACGATATCTTATTCTAGTCTCAGACGGCAGGTTGTGGTACACAGATGAGTGCGACTGTCCTCCCCCATGAGAGCTGCAAAACTCCCACCGGCTGAGACAAACAACTCCAAACGGGGGGAGATGAGCAACAATTGAAAACAAATTCATCTTAGTTCCTTTCAATTCAATTCAATTGTGTTGATTTCATCCGAACAGAGTACAGGGCTTGTTGTTTTATAATTATCTTAACAACAATAACGTGATTAAAATATTTATTTCTCTGGATGTATTTATATACATTCTATACATTTATAGCGACATTGCTTTACTGATATTTTTTTGCCAGTCCGAACGTGTGTTGAAAATAGTTTTTGAGCAGATCAAATGTATTCCCCCTCACGTGGCTCCACTAATAGGGAACCACCGTGCTTTTTTCTTCCATTTATCTCAAGTCAGAATGACTAAAACACAACAAGGTTTTGTGCGCTGGGAGAAACCCCAACAGCCCGAGTACGTGGGCCAAAGATACACCTCCTGCTTTTACTTCCTCTTTTTTACTCTCCCAGTGTGTCCGCTTGAGTCAGCGGTTTCCCAATATGAACCTTTGTTCCGCGGAAACTCGTTTGATTTTCTTTCAAACCTTTCTGGGATGTATCAGTGGTGATCAATCGTCTACACGTCTCACTTGGATTTGGAGAAGACGAGGACGTTGCTGAAGAGGAACAGGTGCCTCTCCTTGATCTTGGAGCCCTCCGTGACCTGAACGCCTTCGTCCAGCAGCAGCTCTCCGTTTTCACTGGTCAGGCCGAGGACGAACGGACTCTGGTCCACTGACACCCAGCAGGGAGCCTCCTCTCTGGGGGGAGAGGGAAGGAAAGAGTGCAGGTGGACAACAGGAACAACCCGCAGCCGGACCAGTCGGGATTTGGTAATTTTGTTTCTGATTACAGAAGTATGCAAAACATTTATTGTCACCACTCTTTGGCCGCAGAGGATGTTTTTTTTAATTCCCAAAGGATGTTGACACTCGGGTGTCACAGTAAATGTTATTTAATGGAAAACAACGGCACAGACGTGCTACAAGTCTGCAGTCTTTGTGTATAAGAATCAGCGGATGGATGACAGAAGTGGGACTTTTTAAAACACAGTGAAAATTCAGAGTAGTTTAACATTTGGGGTTTTGGGCATTTGCTTTATTGCAAAGAGTCAGATTAGAAGTTTATACAGCTCAGGTACTGATAAACGTATGAACACCAGCTAGTTTTGCTCTTGTTGCTGCAATTCGTCATGTGTTTTTGTGTGTCAGTGTGTCTGTGTGTCACGTGTGGCTCGTATTTTTTTCACCTTGTGCATCGTTACAGAATGTGGTCCTGAAGACACAGTTACCACCATAAACCGCGAAACAATCAGCAAAGACGGCGATGTGCAACAACTCCAGAGATATCGCTAACTTTTTTTAATTAGATGAAAAATTAGATGAAAAATGTCAGATCTGTGTGGGAAGGCATCACCTTCCCACTTTAAGAGATCCACAGCATGTCAATAACCTGATACTATTTCATTGTAGACTTCTTAGAATAAAACATTTGCCAGGGAGGGCAGAGATGAAGAGGAACTTGTTTAATTGATTAAACCATCCACAGCAAAACAGATGTAACCTTAAATTGAAAACAAGCTCAGAATCTGGCTGCAGTTCTTCATCTTCAAAGGGATTACCTATCATCTCACATCATGCTTCAAACTGCTGTTTAGCATGAATAAATTATATCATCTAGCAATAAAATAATAAACATGTGCACCAAATCCACACAAAATAAAGTCAGGGTGGGCAAATTCAAGAAGGAAGAGTGGCTTGTTCTAAATGTTTGTGAAACCAGCTTTGGTCATCACTCCTCCTACAGAGTCTGGGGGTTCAAATTCAAATTGCTGCAGCAGAGGTACTTTCCCTTTCCCACTGTAGATGACGCATAACGCACGGAAATACAAAGCCCCAATAACATGAACAACTGCTCCGTAACTTATCTGATGCTACTCATTCAGACAACAGTGTGTCATTTTGGTGTAAATACTTTAAAAGACAACTCTTCGCATCTGCGAGTTAGATGTGCAGCCAACCAGGAGATGTTAGCTTAGCACGCTGCCTAGCCCTGTTCTGGGCATAAATTAAAAAAAACAAAACTTAAGGGTAAAGTGTTTAAGGCTTCATGTATTTTCCCCCTAATTCCTCCTTAAAACCACTTCTTAGAAAGAAAAAATGTGTTCCACGTGTTCACATTCAACGAGCAGATATGAGGGCGAGATCTATCTTCTTGCATCTTTCTGAAAAAGAAAACCGACTAACTGTCAAAATATTCCGTGAATTCTCAAACGTCACATTCTAATTGCAAGGCGTCAATGTATAAAATGTAAAATAAAATGACATGGTAAACATTGGTTTTCTCTGCACTACATCGCTGAATAATCGCATAATGTAATAAGAGAATATTTTTTTACTTTTTCCTTCATAACCCGCTTGAAAAACACTTTCCAGATTTGATATAAGTTATGCATATATGTTCAGTAAGAGATAACACAATTGATTTATTTTCAGATTCAATTCAATTGATTGCACTGCAACTCCTTATCTGATGTATTATAGGTTTTGTACTCTTTGTGTTTAGTTAAATGTTGTGTTTCATGTTTATTTGAAAAGCAGTTTATACCCTCGGACGAAAGCCAAAAGAACCAAATCGTTCAACACGTGGGGGATTATCTTCCACGTGAAAAGGTGTAATCTACGTCAGAGAATACCACCCACAACGTCCCCCGTCTCCAGGAAATGCACAATGTGTTGAAAGTGGGACGTGTCTGACATTTGTCATATTAACTCGCCCACTGGATGCCCCGGGGGTCTTTGCGTTGCCACTGTGAAAAAAAACAAAAAACCTCCAAAAGGTCAAAGAAACAAACATCAGACACAGAGAAGGAGGGCGAGATGAGAGATTAGAACACAATAAATGTCTTTGTGCCGGACCGAATGTGACTTGACTAAACACAAAAACAACAACGGATTCTGCTCTTTTAGTGACGCACGTTTTTTCAGTGCTCGGCCCTTTAAAACTCAACAGTATATCTTATCATTTGTTCTCCTGTAATTGTAATATAATGTGTTAACAAAGGGATCAGCTCTTTAAAAACAATCCCTTGGTTGTAAAAACCCAACGGGACACAACCCTTGGTATTTTCAATGGCTCCAGAACTAAATTGAAATTTCAGACATTCAGAGTTTGAAAACCAGTTCAGATATACTTTTAAATCAGTGATACACAAACGTTTTCTTTCAGGCAGCTTTCCTTTGTGCCACAGAAAAGTCTAAGACGAATCATACACAACGCCGCAGCTACTGCTTCATTTCAGTGCCACTTCATTGTTACTTCTCACAGCTGTATTCTTTTCGTGACCTTTTGATCAGTGTTTTCTTTAGATAATCATCACTTTCAGCTGGCGGGTCCGGCCCTCGGAGAGGTCGCGAGGGACGTTTGTGCAGTTTGCAGTTTGAAAACCTCGCTCTGTAAACCCCCGGGGGGACATCTGTGTTTGTGGCCTCATTGGAAGGGGGGCTGAGCTGAGTGCCGGGGGATGTGGAGGTGTCATCGCGACTGTTTCTGTTCCACACGTGGTGGCCACTCGAATGGGAGAGGAAAGAAAGCGTTTGTCTGCGCGGTGCGTCACGGGTCCCCTGTGAGACGAGCTTGTCCCTCTCGCGTGCTGCCACCTGTGGGCCGGAGGCTGCAGCGACGGAAACAAACGGATTGTTGCACTCGGGAACACTTTTCAACTTTTATACTTGGTGACCTGCGGCCCGGGCGTCACACGCCACAAAATGCTCAATTTGTCCGTGACAAAATAAAGGACACAAATTAAAACAGTCTAAAGCGGCGATTTCCACGTGTAGATGTTTGTGAAACTTTAAAGCGGACTGACAGCCCTTTACAAAGGAAACGTGTCTTTATAAGCGATATCTATTAGATTTATATTTGGAATCGGCCTGCAGATATAAAACCACCCAGTGTGTTAGGAGTTAAAAAAATGCAACGTCACTCACATCCATCCGGGCTTTTCTAAAGTTAGAAAGTTCCTTAATTCAAATCACGTGACACACCTGAGAACTCAATGGGTTTAACATAATAAAAATGTATGTGTTAGGAGTGTTTGAGTGAGAAACCAGGAATTACGGAAAACAATCGTACATATTCGGTAAAAGTTTAACAGATGGAAAAGGGTTGAAAACGATGATGCACGCACTTGATAGGAGACCACGGCATCCCCAACGCCTTCCCAAAGGCCAATGACGGGGCCGAGCGTCGTCTCTGAGCCAAGTGTCTGAGGTGCTGCAAAGAAACAGAGCAATTATAAATGTCACAGCTTTTATAATGAAGTATCCATGTATCCGTCTATCTATTCTATCTATTTTTTCTTCTCAAACATTTGTCTCTATATTGTCCCACGGAGGACATCTAGATGACAACCTGCAACCAACTTTCTCTTTAATACTAATAACAAATACTCAGACAATTATTTTCTTGATTAGTCGTTTGGAAAAACACTAAATTTCTAAACGTTTTTTTTCTAAACCCTGAAAGCATCACATTATTTCCATTTTTACTTTGGAGAACCCCACCTACTGTAAGTCGCACAAATATTCCATCTAGAAATATGATTTGGTGGCTCGCTTTGGAGGAATGTGGCTCAACAGTTGATGTTGTTGATTTGAAAACTCGCACGACGAACAAATCAATAGGTTGTTTTGAGCCGCAGGAAGGAAACGCTGAGAGCCTTTCTTAAACAGAAATGGGAAACTATCAGAACAACCAAGAAAACAAGTCTTCATCCATGAATTTTGTCTCCTTTTAGATGGAAAAATAATAAATCCTCTATCTTAGGCACGATGTGTCATTATGCTACTATATCAACATTTAGGCTTTTTCATCAAGAAACTCATTTATCTTTATTATCAAGTACTCATTGCAGGTCAAATGACCTCATTCAAGTACTCAATTCAGACCACACTTAGACCACAACAAACCAATGTTGATGATATTTCTGCCGGTTCAGCAACAGTCTCCATCAAAATAGACTGAGTTTAAAACATCTATGAAGAAAAAACGGAAGAAAGCAACATAATTCAACATATTAGGAGACCGTTTATAAATGTTCTTCCGCGATAACAGTCTTCTAGAGGCAAACTGTGCACAGGCATCATTCTGCACAGAAAGGTCAAATATAAAGTCAAGTAAATGTAAGAAAATCACATGTCCACACGTCTCCAAAAGTAGAATGTCCCCTGTGCAGGAAATGCGTTTCCCTTATGAAGATTGATTCATTGATTGCCCATGACAATAACATATGCGGTCCCAACAGCAGTTCCTGAATGTATCGGCACCAACCGAAAGGCTTTCGTCATAGCAATGCTGTCCAGGTTATATCAAAAGTACTGGATCATTAACAGAAACTCGGAAAGTCACTTAGGTCAAAGAAGATATTGCAGCTTGGACCATTTTGTGAGCGTTAAAGCCAAAAGATTTATTTTGATCATTTAATTCATGGTCAAATGTTCCCAGCAGGAACAGTCTTCCGCACACATGAACACGGTCTGGTTGTTTTTGTGTGAAAGAACACAAAGTAGATTTGTCACCTTGTTGTCGCTGCTCCTCTGCTCTAATTACTAATCAAACTGGTACAATTGGACTGAGCAGCGCTGAAAACAAAGGGAAAAACAGCAAAACAAAACAAACAAAAGCAGAGAGACTCGACAAAGCGTCTCCTCCCGGCCTCTCTCTCTGCAGCCTGTTCCGTGTTGGCACACAGAGACTGACTCATGATGGACCAACAAACAATGACCGCGTTGACCCGTCCTGGCGCATGCACCACAAAGTGAGTTCAACCTGCGTGCACACAGTCTCCCCCGGGCACAAGCTGGTAGGAAATCTCACATGTTTAGTCCGCTACAAGCACTTTGTGAGCGTTGCAGCCCCTGGTTGCGTATTAGGTTCTGCAAGTATGTGTCTTGGAAACTTGGCAATTAGTTCCCTCGTCTGGACGTCAATGTTCTTTTTCGATTTGGCTTCAGCCTCGTTCCTTCAACGTGCGATCAGGGTGTAGTTTGTCTGACGATTGGTTACACACTTCCTATGTTCAATCATTTGTAAAGATTAAACATGTCAGTATCAAAGATCATATTCTCAATAATCCAAAATCCAATGAGTTTTTTTTTGTCCAGAGAACCAGTGCAATGGTAACTCCCAAAAGTACATCCACCCCTGCACCTCGAGTGTGTTGCACATTTTTGTCTGTGCGGTACCATTGCGGTCAATGTGCTGTATGTCGCCACCAGCAAGTCCAGCAAGAAACAAGAGCCAGTATAATATTTCTTAGCAGCAGAGATACATATTTCATGTTTCCATGTACTTAACATTAATGGCTGGATGGACATTTTACCCAATTAGCAGATCCTGCGTACAGGAATATGCACATGTCCGTGATCAGGAAATTACTGAAGGGTTACTCTGTGATCATCGGTCGTGGTGACTTTAATGCAGTAGTATGGGCTCTTCAAACCTCATTACTGCTCAACAAAAATACTTTTAGAAATTCTAAAATGCCACCAAACGAGTCCACATACCTCTGAGGCAAATTTGTAATTGGTTATTTTGGACTTTACAAAATAAACTGAAACTGAAATTGAAAAATGTCCTACAGTAAAGTTTACTCCTCCGCAATCTTCATGTTATAATTTGGTTTAGTTAGACAACAAAGAATACATGATTAAGGTTGGATCTTCAAAAGAAGAGAGACATGAGCTGCAGTCCTTGGCGTGCAGGTCAGAGACTTTGTGCGCTTGACCCTTTCTTCCTGACTCCTTATTTTAGATGCAGACACAATAACAGCATCGACATGTTCACTTCATTTCAAGCTCGCTACAATAAATACAACGCACAATAACACATTTCAAGTCAGAGTTCACATTGAGCTGAGGGGAAATACAAATGGATGGGGACAGACTCTGTCAGACTCTGACCACATGGATCGGCGTGGCGCTCGGCGAACGGGGTTCATGCCTGTAGAGGATTTCACACACACCTGTGCAACTTCAGGTAGTTGAACTAATGAACATGTGCTCTAATTGCACATCAGGAAATTGAACTTTCAACGAAACGTATCAACGGCATGGACATAGGAAGGATTGGCTGGTCATAATACCTACAGGCTACATGTTGAAGTTAACGGTTTGGATCTACGCTCAGAGGACCACCAACAGCCCCAGAAAGACCTCGACCCAGTCAGTCTTCAAACCTCTCCCTCTTTGCCTTTGGGGGTAGCCCGATCAATACTCACAGGACGTAGAGAAGCCGCACAATCGTCATAGCTTCCTCTCCTCATTGCTGCAACTTCACAATCTGGAGGGTCCATCTCTGAGCAAGTCCTCCGGCTGTGCTGCACGTTGACTCTGTGTGTGTCTGCGAGGAGAAGAGAAGCAGTTTGAGGGCTCAGAGTGACGCCTGTTGTCCTGCCAAACGGCTTCTTCTGACCTGCCCGCTAATGAGCGTGACAACAAAGGAGGCTTGGCTGGCACACAAATTACGTGAGGGGGGGGGGCTGTTGTGCCCCGACCTGGAGCCCCAAACCCCCTCCCTGCCCCCCTGCCCCACACGCAAAAAGACCGTACACTTCTATCCCTTCATCGCCCCATTCCGGCCTGGCCTGTTCCGCTCCAGTGGGGCCGTTTCCTCCAGTAATGAGATGGCCGTGCCTCCCATCCGGGCCGCCACCTCGCCCCCCCCCCGTTTCGGGGCTAACGAGGGTGAGATGACGTGACGGCCAGTGCCGAGGGGGAAAAAAAGGGTCTCACGAATTCTCCCTGAAAACACGTGAATAGCGGCACGCATGCAGATGCAGGTGCTCTTTTGGGGTTGAGTTTTTAAGGCTATTTTAATTTTAGACCAAGGCGATAAATAGATGCCCGGAAATAAAGTCAAATATAGTGTTACCTGCACAAAGTTGAAGGGCGTGAGTGACAGCAAGAAAGTTCAACAATAAACTGAACTTGATTGTGCAATAAATGTTAAGTTAGAAATGTATTTTGTAAAGTGAACTGCTGTGGTAAACTATTGAGTGAGGAATCCATCCTTCTATTTGAATTGATCTGCTGTTTTGTGTGTGTTGATCATTAGACAGTTTAACTGTGTCTCTTGATGATTTGTGGTCAGCAGAAATATATTATAATATAAAGTTTGCCCAAAGGAGTTAATCCTGATCCACTCTCACAATATGAAAACATGCAGAACAGAGAAATTAATTTAAGGTTTTATGTTAACAATGTTTTGGTGATACTGAGCGTACGTATTCCACGTGGTATAGCAACTATTTGCATCCCATTAAAAGCACAGATACAACGATGCACGTATACTCCATCACAAGGCAAGGAGAGTCGGGCAAAGTGCTTTACATAACACCTTTCTTTAAATGATTGTGGACCGCGGTCACCTTAGTGAAAAATATAGCCATTAACAGAACTCAATGGTGACCTGCTGTTTTCGTGATTGCCACCATAATCACAAATGGCCCGGTGAGCAGTGACATGTCCAATTGTCACCTTATTCCACACAGAGGGTGGGCTGCTTCCATCTATTGTCCACACGTGGACATGCAGCCATTGGACCCGGACTCTAGAAGATCAAGCGACTGTATTTAATGGAGGTTCATTTGATATTATAATCACATTGAGTGAGAGTGAGCACAGCGTTGGTCAAGCTCCGATCTGAACAGGAGAGGAGCTTGAAGGCGAAAGGCTTTGGCTCACGTTCTTTTTTAGCTGTGGTGGAACTTAGTGGAAATGGATCAATGAAGGAACACATGAGTTCCAGCTGTAGGTCACAGGTCAAAGAATTCCCAAGAGAGGAGTTCACAGTGTGCACAAGATCAATTGCCGCTCTGCACTAAAGGAAACACAAGTGACCCTGCATCCGCAGTGCTCTAGTTGCCTACACAGTAACTAGTAGTCCAGCCTTTTCCGGCAGAGAACCATGGCCTTAGACTTTAAGGATACTCTCACAACTGCCTCACACTTTACTGGAAATTGGGACCGAAGGACCAAAAGGGAATTTTTTTTCTTCCAGCTGTCGAAAGCTCAGCATGGATCCACTTCTGAAAATGTTGCATGGGGCCTATTTTCAATCACTGTCACTCCTGCAATTTGTGCAATTTCACTTTTCTTTATCTTCAGCTTTGTCGAGGAGGATTTGTGCTACGAGTGCTAGCGAGAGTCAATGAAGGTGCCATAGATTGATGAACAGAAGACAATCGAACTGACGGCTAAAAATATAGCTTGCACCCAATAATCAATTGTCATCCAGCTCTCCTTTAAAGTCCCAACCATTCGTGAGGGAGATATCTGGCTCTTAATGAACACAAGGTAGTCACTAACTTTAGCCTAGTTTATGCTTCTGCGTTTTCAGAGCGACGCAGACGCAAGACCCCCTAGCGTGTCCCTTGCGTGCCTTTTCACACATCACGCAACGACGCAGAAGCATGCGCCAGCCTTTAGTCGCTAACATAGCTCTGTTTATGGTCTACAACACCTGGGGAAACTATCCTCCCGTTTAGCTGCTAAATCCTCCACGATGTTCACCAGCTTGTTACTAACTTTGTTTGTGTTTGGTGCCAGCTAGGAAGTGCCCTGTGGGTTTTTAAATAATGGTAATGATAATAATAGAGACGTTAAGGGGAATACACTCTTAGAGGTCCTAAGTTCATTATTCAGAGCACAGGAATTGCTTCCCCGCGGCTCCCAACGTGCCAACTGCTGAGCAGCCGGCTCGTGGCAGGCGGCTCGTAGATGGCGGCTCGTGGCAGGCGGCTCGTAGATGGCGGCTCGTGGCAGGCGGCTCGTAGATGGCGGCTCGTGGCAGGCGGCTCGTAGATGGCGGCTTGTAGCAGGCGGCTCGTAGATGGCGGCTCGTGGCCGGCGGCTCGTAGATGGCGGCTCGTGGCAGGCGGCTCGTAGATGGCGGCTCGTAGCAGGCTGTGCTAACGCCAGAGAACAGAGCTAATGTTTGTATCTTTTACCTCGTTACTGTGGCCGGCCGGAAACTTAAACAAACAATAATGTTTCAAAGCAAAAAGCTAAAGTCTTTTAAATTGAGGTAATTGGAAAAAAGTTGACGTGGCAGCTTTACATAAGTTAAACCGTTTTCCCCATTTGGGTTTTTTCTTCCTCCCGTATAAAAACTTTGTGAATGTCTAATTGCAGCCGCAGAGGACTGAACGGAGCCCATTTAGCAGGGAGAGTGGCAGACATATTAATCGGTCTTCCACAAAACGCATGAAGCCGTTTAACTACTCAAATGGGTTTTAACAAGAGATGAAAATAATTCATATTCTGTACGGATTTTTATTCCTCTGCATTTATACAGCTATTGATTTTCAATAGAGCTACACCACAGATTGAATACAAATGTGAGGATGTCTAAAGATTTTCAACCATCAAAGCCATTACCATTATAGCGGGTAAAATAAGTGCTAAGCACGTCGCTATTTCTCCCATTAAATATAAATCCAAAGATAATGTTGACGTGTCCCTTTCACCAGATGTAGCTATCAACCCAAGTATTTCATACATGTAAAGAAATCCGAACTAATACGTTCAGAAATGTGAAAAGAATGTGAGAGGGCAAAAGTATTGAACACGCTGACTGAAATGTTTTAAAATTAATTAAAGCCTGTGTTGGTAATGACAGCTTCAAGACGCCTCCTGTAGGGAGAAACTTGCTCAGGTGTGATTTGAGCCTATTCTTCCACACAGTCTTCAAATGTTGAAGGTTCTGCGTGCTTCCATGAACATCATTTTTACTTCTTTCCATTGATTTTCGATTGGATTCAAGTCGGCCTTCTAGCCGCTTTATTTTCTTTCTCTGAAACCAATTAGTAGTTCCCTCGGCTGCGTGGTGTTTGGGATCATCGTTTCGTTGAAAATCCACACGTGTTTCAGCTTCATCCTCCTGGTATATGGCAGCAGATTTTAATCAAGAACGTCTCGGTACATTTTTCCATTCATCCTCCCTCCAATAATGTGAAGCCAGACTGTGTCGTTTGCTGAAAAACAGGACGACGTTCCCTCCTCCAAACCTCACTAAGTGCATCACAATCATACCTGCTAATTCCCAGTGTGTCTGAAGCTCTACCCGAGTTCTCCTTGACTCTTCTCATAATTATTTTCACTCTTCTGTCTGCACATGTGCGAGGTGCACCTGGTCATGGCCGGTTTATGGTGAAATGATGTTCTCTTCACGGATTACGGCCAACAGTGCTCACTGGAACATGCAGGATTTTTGAAACCTTTCTGTAACTAATGGCATTAGTAAGCTTTGCAACAATAAGGTTGCCATGGTCTTGAGACAGCTCTTTGCCTTTGCCAATCATAAGATGTTTCTTGTGAGACACCTTAATAATGAGACACCTTTTTTACAGGAACCAGCTGATATTCATTTGAATGACAAGGGGCAGGAGTGCTTTGTTATTTTCTGGTGAAAGTTTTATTTCAATAATACCTTTAGTAATATATTTACTGAGAAAAAATGGTCACGTGTTAAATACTTATTTTACCCACCGTATTCAGTATACAATCATTCAGTTGTAATGGATTTGATATCATTCTGCGGTTTTTAAATACATTTTCTATGTATCCTTTGTTTCTTTGTTTCTCTTCCTTGCATTATAGAAGTATATTTTTGTGATGTGATTTCAACATCAGAAGAAACATGGGTAAGCATATCAAGTGTCACAGAGGGGAAAAATCACAAGTGAATGCTTATTCTGCGAGATGTATTTGCAGACCTCTTAGAGGTAGCGACTGAACAACAAAACCACCAGTTTACAAAACATTACAGATAAAACATAGAAGCAACACTAACACAATCTATTGGAGGGGAAATTACTAGGGAAAGTATTTGAGGTAGACTGAGCAGAAAGTTCTAACAGTAATTGAATATACTGTATGAAAAAACATGTTTCAGGCTGCAATGCTGATATGAAAAGAAAAAAAAAGCAAATGGAAAGAAATGGGCACAAATGGCAATGTTTTAAGTTGCTATGGGAACAGGCAACTTTGAGAGGGTGTTCAAGTTCAAATTGAACTACGTGAACTGATCAATATTTCGAAACATTATTATTACATGAACTCAGAAGGCACAGCACATTTTCGGGGCAGGCTAATAACTGAATGCAACGTTTGCCTTATACAATAAATGACCACATTATATTTGGATTTAACGAGTGATTACAGTTGGTTCTGTTAGTTTTCATGTTCAAAGTGAATGTATAACACTGAACACTGAAACCACAGGAGGGTTGTTAAAAGAAGCTACCAACTTTCACCCTTGGGGAATATATGATTCATCAGAATAAAGGATGTTTAGCAGATACAAACTTTGACTCGTGTCTCGTCGCTGGAGCAGTTCAGGGCCTTCCGTAAACAGTGAAGGAGCTTCCACGTAGAGGCGGCCACGGGGGCCAAACTTTACTGTCCAAGATGGCGGGGGCTTTTTTTCGAGGGCGAACCCCAGCAGGTGCACACCGGCCTGCCGAGGACGCCGCCGCTGTCGCTCTGCGCCGCGTTGCCTTTCCTCCTTCCCTTGCTGCGAGTTCGGCCCTGAGACAGACCGAAGGTCGCCTTCTGGACGACGGCCCTTTCCTGCAGCTGGATGTGGATGGGATACTGGAGCTCCGCAGGGGTGTGAACGCGCACTCGATTCCCTCCCAGCACACAAGCCAGCCACAAGGACAGGAGCAGGCGGCGGAGCTCCCGCCGGAAGGTCTTGTTGAAGTAGAAGTAGATGAAAGGGTTGTAGACGTGGGAGCTTTTGGCGAAGAGGGCGGGGAACACGAAGCCCTGAGGAGCCATGTACAGGTGCTCCTTGTGGAAAATGAAGAGGAAGGACACCACCGCGTACGGCGCCCAGGCCGTCACAAAACCCACGCTGATCCAGAAAAACATCTGGAAGAAGCAATAACAGGTTGCAGAACATTAACACTGTGGATGTACTTCAGCGCAGCCAGAGAAAAACAGAACGCACTCATCATGTGGTCAAGCAATCCAAAAATATATTAAGCAATTTATATAGACGTGTGAAAAATTACTCTAAATGTTCATTTTCAATAGCAAATAAGGAAACCGTTTTGCAGGTCTGAACAACATCTGAAGCAGAAGGTTAACGTGCAGAATTCACATTGTCCTTATCACGTGGCGAGTCCTTAACGGTAAACTTATAGAGAACCAAAAAACGTCTTTGTTTTCACTCATCCTGTATTGAGATCATGCTGCTGGAGGCACATGGGATACTGAAGCAAGCGAAGGGCTGGTGGTTCGACCCCCCGACTGTGGCGGGTCCTGTTTGAAAGTGTCCCTGAGCAAGACATCGTACCACAGCTGCTGCTCCCAATTATGTGGGAGAGTTAAGAATGGAGATAATTGTAAATTCCGCCATTGTGGGACTAATAAAGGAGTGAGTCTTTTCAAATCTGAAATCCAAAGTAGGTCTATAATGGAATAGCCCGGAGAGAGCCTCACTTCTTAGTCAAGTCCCAAGGCTTGGTCTAAGGAATGTTTTCAAGGAAGGGTTAGATTGGGTCAGGGTGAGGAAACATAGTTCAATGTAAGGAAAATGAGCTGCATATAAAACATTTGAGGAAGTCTCCGTTCCTCCGCCAAGAACAAGTCCACATGACCTCTAGAAGGAAAACAACGCTTTTGTTGGCTCACCACGGAGAGCCGCTTTTCGGCGTGTTTCAGGTTGTTGCGGATGCCTCTGGCAGACAGCGAGTTGGAGAAGCGGGACACCTCGTGGAGGATCCGACACTGGGACACCACGATAAGGAGGACGGGCACCATCGTGAAGCAGGCGAAGGAGCAGATGACGTAGACGGCGTCCTTGGCCGAGGTGTGGTAAGCCCTCCAGGCGATGGTGCAGGACAGTCCGTAAGGCTCGGGGACGTACTCGCCCCAGCCGACCAGAGGGAAGCTGGACCACACGGCAGCCACCAGCCAGAGGGCGCAGCACGCCATTTGGATGTTCGCGCCCTCCAACCACACGCCTGGGAGAAAAACATGGAATTACACGTCGTATGCAATGCATGTCTCAAATGCATCGGTGCTGAAAGCAGGAAAATAGTACGACACTTGAAAGTGATGAAAAGGGTAGAAGCAGCCTTTGTTTCTTGCACATATATTCCCGTTTGTGCGTGACAGTCAATACCACTACTGAAAGATCACATCTGTCGTAAAAAATACCAATAACACGAATTGGGCTTTTCTTTTATTCTCTCGTCGCCCCCCTCACCGTACAGCAGGCCGCGGCAGGTCTTCAGGTAGCGGACGACGCTGATGGCGGCGATGGTGAACATGCCGCACAGGCCAAAGACGTAGCAGCCGAGGCCGTAGTAGACGCACGTGACGTTTCCTCCCAGCCACGCGTGGCGGAAGGAGGACGCGATGGACAGCGGGTAGAAGCAGAGGCAGCAGAGGAAGTCGACCACGGCCAGGTTGACGCACAGCAGCTCCGAGCCCACCATCTTCTTCCTCCTGCGGTAGCAGATCACCAGAACCAGCCCGTTGCCCAGGACGGAGAGGACAACTGTAGGCAGAGAGGACGGGGACATCGTGTTGTTTTTTTAAATGGTCATAATAGAAGCTGCATTGGTTGACCTTTTGGAAAACAAGCAGGTTATCGGGTGTATCGAGGATACAAGCAGTGGTCCAAGTGTCCAAACTACACAAGACTCCCAAAGAAACCCCTTAGAATTACTCAGACGTGTGATTAGTTTATTGAGCCAGATGTTCTACAAACAGACCTAATTAACCCGTAGGCCTCAGACGGACATTTGTTCTGTCATTTTTCAATAATTGTGTCAATGCAGGTGTCAAACCTTTTGGGAATGAGGTCAGTATTTGTTTTTTTCTTTTTGAAAATTCAATCTCGGTCCCCGTGAGTAAGTTTAAACAAAATACAGAAATGTGTCCACTGAATTTTTGACCCCAGGTCCATTTAGTTTTATCATATCAGTCTTTCATGAATGCAACACAATAAAAGTTTTTAATCATTGACACATCCAGTATACAGATAACAATACCAACAGTGGTATTACGCAAAGAGTTTCTAAAAGCACTTTAAGGAATGTCACTGCTTTTGTGTGACAAAAGGGTTTCATCGTCCGACGTTACATTACGTTATTGTGGTCGTATTATAGTCTGGGTTACTACAATAAACAAGACCAACAGCTGATGATTAACATTGACATTATCTAAACAAACTGGCGTTAAAAAAAAAAATCTGGATTAACAATATTTCATTTTGCCCAGTTTCCTTGTTTTCCACACCGGTGTTGAGGAATTAAAGTTACATGAGAATTCGAGATGCCTTCATCCAGTTTTATTAGTTTTACATATTTGAATCCAGACAATGTTGAGAGTTTGTTTGAATTTTGAAATTTAAAAGAAAATGAGAAACACTTAAAAACACATCTTTCCCGTGCGTTTGTATACGTCCAGCACACTAAAGGACACCGGTGAGCCATAAAGTTGCGCGGATTAGACACGTACCCACGGAGAGGATGGCGAGTCCCACCCAGATGTCAGCAGATGTGCTCAGTTTGGAGGTGAAGGCGGAGACGGTCCGGCTGTCGGAGGAGTTCAGAGTCATCGGCTGAATCGGTTCGCGGTCTTGTCCTTGTTGTTGAGGGGTAAAAAATCCGGACGGGTAAAAGAGAGACGCGCGCACGGAGAACGACCTCTTTATTCGGGCAGGTGTGTCACCATGGCAACTTACCTGCGCGCTGGGATGCGGTGCGGAGAAACTGGACGGTGGCGAGGAAACTGTGGCTCGAATTCAGCAACCCGAGAGAAAATAAAGACAAACTAATGCTGAGTGGGATCGAGTACAGACGCCGCACAATTAGCTCCTAATGGGCCGCAACTACGCGGCGCTCAATCAGGCGCAAAACCCGCGCGCATTAAAACTGGGCGCATGCACGCGAGCAGAAATCAATAGTGGAGGGAACATCTGGGGTGAGAAAATGTCATGTTTGAAACCCTAGTTTTTTGTATTCTGAGGTGCCCGGTGACGTAAGCGTTGACACAATGCCCCCCCCCCCCCCCCCACACACAGGTCTGCAGCTACACATCACGTTACGTACTGCATTGACACACACTGAAGTTACATCTATATTCACCAAGACATACAACCTGATAACGAACTGAATTAAGTCCCCGCTGGGAAAAAAAAAACCCTTTCAGACATAATCATCTGATTAGTGTTCTCCCGCACACTCCTTGTTTTAATGTGAGCCGTTTCTTAGAATAAGTTAAGTTTACGGTGTGGATGGATAGTGCAGAATAGTAGCTCATTCATGTTAAATCCTTAGTGCTTAACTGCTTGGATTGCTATTATTCACGCTCTCAATTTCTAGAAATGTGTGCGATTGTTTCTGTGCTTGTGTGACCGGCTGTGTGTATTTCTCATGCTGCATTCAGGATGGCGTGTTCTGCTCAGAGGGAAAAATGTGATTAAATAAGAGATGTGTGTCTGCAGCACGGAGCTCCTGACACCATCTGCTGAACTCCACCATGTACTACAATATCCAACACGCCAACGGGGGAAAAGAAGAAAAAGACAGGTCGCAATGCTTTGAGTAGAAAGATAAAGTAGACTTTATTTTATGGTGAAACCTAAATAAGATCTGCGATTACAAAACAGGTTCCCCACACATTTTTTTTTCTTCTTTTTTTTTTTAACGTCAAAGAGGTTGGAATGCTGTACTGACAAAGGCATCAGAAAAGACTGGACCTAAAAATGTGAACATAGAAGAAGTTAGCGAGCAGACACTCGGGGGTTGTTGGAGGGAACACCATTCAATTTAAAACAGTAAGTCACACAAGTTGTTCCTATGATCTACGGCAGTCTCATCACGTTCACCCGCGTGTTCATCAGCTCCCAACGCCGGAAACTAAAAGCGAATGTGGGGGTTACAAAGTCAGGGAGGGAGCAGGGTGCAGGGAGCGAACAGGCGCCGACGCCAAAACACCTCTCGGGTTTTGCTGTGCCAAGCGTTCGTTTTCTTGATATCTCCACTACACGACGAGCCTCGCTTGGATATAAAATTGACACACAACGTCAGCAAGAATGTGAATCGTAAAACGACCAATGACGGGCTTTGCTTTTTCGCGCGTTTGCTGATCACCGACTGCGCTCGCAGACCACGGAGACGACGTACTGTACAGAAAATCTTAAATTGAGTGGCATTTCCCTTTAAGTAGCCTCCGAACTGACATATACGCATATGCACGCAAGGTAAGCCGGCTTCCCATCACAACCCATCTGCCAAAGCAAACATTCAAAAATATTTGAACTAAGGAAACTCAGGAAACTTAGTGATGTAGGTCTCATATTTTTAGTTCTAAATCTACGGTTTTTACATTGTTGGGAAATACTTTTATTCTCTTTCTTGCCGAGCGTTTGATGAGAAGATCCAACTGCGCGATGGATCTTCTCCTCGAAACACATTCCCCCCAAAAACATTGGCGCTTTTGTTTATTCCAGTCAGGCTGAACGACATCTCTTGAAAGTCCCGTCTCAATACTTTAGTGTAATCTTATAAACGCAGATGTTGCGTCACAACTTCTTAGGTTTTCACACAGATACATTGCTTTTTTTTTTTTTTTCATCACCAACACCTGAATCACAAAGATAATCTCATAAATGTTCCATCCTCCTGAACTGTGAACAAGTTGTAACTTCTTACGAGACATCAATCCATATCGGTGATAATTTAGGATTCAACCTTTTTTTATATTGTTTTGGCCATAAACCTGCCATTCTCTTCCTCTACCGTGAGACGACTCAGCAGTAGCTTCTTCTGCTCCCGACAAACGGCCCTTCTCTGTACATTGATGGACACTGAATGTATAAAGATGGATCTGGTCCCATCTGCCCTTAAATACTCCCAAAAGAGCGGCGTTCCCTTCTGCCTTGAGTTTTGCACCCACGTGTTGGCAGCAACAAGGAAAAGCGCATTAAAAAAAACACACATCTTTAAATAGCTATTCAGCTCGTCCAAGCGCAGCACAATCGGAAACATTGAATTCAAGTCATTATTTTCTCCCCTTTCCCAGGTATCAAACAACGAATATAAACAAACAAAAATAATCATTTTCAATTAAACTAAATGTGAATGGATAAATCTTTGATCAGACGAATAAAACAATATACTGCAGCCACAGTGTAACATCCAAAAATAGTCTTAAGTTGAAATATATATATATATATATATACATATACATATATATATATATTTTCGGCCAAGGAAATGCTGGCGTTCTAAGTCACTCTAGTAGATTTAATATACTGTTGAGGTGTAATTTGTGTTTTTTATCTGTCGCCGTTAATCCTCTCCTGACAGTCCTGAACACGTTGTCAAACCGTTACGGGATAAAAAACCGACGTCCGGTGTCATTTGGCACATGGGCTGCTCTCGCCGGTGGCCGCGCCCACGTCGGGATCTTGGTTTGCTGGGGTGACGGCTGCAGCCTCGGCGCTCTTGTCTTGGTTGTCACCGTTAGTACTACTGTTGTTGTTGTTGTTGTTGTTGTTCTGGACACCCAGGAGCCCGTGGCTGTTGTTCTGGACCAGAGCGGCGTTGCTGAGCCTCAACTCGTCCAGCTTCTTCCACAGTTCGTCCCTCTCTTGCTCTTTCTTCTTCTCCCTGGGAAAAAAAAAATACACAAAAAACAAAACAAAATTAGACAAAAAGTTACATTGATTAAAGAAAGTTGATTTGGTTGTCATAAAATATGACATAAATCCCAAAACCTCAATAGAAGCTTAGTAAAGGCCACGTGAATCTGTTGCTCACCGCTGCCGTTCTGCTTTGTAGGAGGAAGTCAACTCGTCGAAGAGCGTGCAGTTCATTTCCATCAGCGTCTTCAGCACGTTGTAGACCAGAGCTACGATTGTCCTGCAGCACAGCGGAGACACTCTCAGTGAGACACACAAAACATCCTCAATAAGCAATTAAAAAACAAAAACAACCAATAGTTGTTGTTTTTTTATGGGCAGCCCAGTGAAACAAATAGCCACATAGGAAACAAAATTCTTTTCACTCGCTCAGAATCGGATAGTTACCACTAGCGAATGAGTCAGTGTTACTATGTGTTAATGATCAGTTGGTCCCACAGCTCGGGTCGACCAACCGGCTGGCGTACTTACGGGTTCCAGTGCTCTTTGGAGATTCTGTACAGGCTGCCGAACATGATGGGAAGGACCTTGTCAATGTTTTCCTCGATGAGGCTGAGAATGTACTCGTTATTCCAGAAGTACAGTGCTCGCTCCGCGACCTACAGAGACAGGAAGAATAAAGGAGTGCTGCAGTCAAGATTGCGTTTGTCCCGCTTAACGACGCCTTTCCTTTTCAATCATCGAAGTGAACAGAGTAGAAAATCAAAAAGGTCAGATGAAGGTGAGAAAAAACGCCCCCGTCAGACGTGCAACATGATGGCGATCGCACATGTGTGGTCTGAAAAAGTGATTGCAGGGGGGAGGTTGTGGTGCTGACAACCTACATTTCATCAGACATACAGGGGCGTGTTCCTGTTACTCTGCCTACTCTCATTGATATAGAGAAACACCTGTTAGCATGTAAGACAAAGGGTAGTGGATCAATTGAAGCGTCTGCATGTTGGCGTCAGGAGCGTACCTGGAAGTGTGGATTGGCCACACATTTGGAGATCTGTTTGAACAGCGGCTCTTGGATTTTCTTGAACTGTGTTGGCTCGATGACATCCAGAATCTCCTCAATTTCACCCAGAAACATCACCTATTTTGATAAAAGGTGCACAACTTGACGAAACGTGACAATCTGGTTGGCGGTGTGTGTGAAGTGTATTTGTAGATCTGTTGATTACCTCCTTCTGGCTGCAGGTTCTTGGCCAAAACTTCAGCAGCCCGCGAATCACCTGCACAGAAAAAGCAGAGAATTTTGTGAGAATTCAAATAAAAAAAATCCCAGCCTGCTCGAGTGGGTGGTTTTCCTGCTGTGTAAACTCATTTAAAGCTCCGGGCTTTGTGCTTTGAGTGGGAGGAGTGATAAAAATAAGTACCGGTTCCGTGAGTGTAGGATCTTTCTCCAGGAACTGGACCACACAGTAGGCCAGCTGAGGGACACAAAAGAAAAGAGTAAAAGTACACACTGTTCCCAAAAACAGCATCAAGACTACATACAAACAATATCATCTGAAACAATATCTCTTGTTAAATATTTAGAACGAAGAACCCTGATAAATGTTATTATTCTTATAAATTCCTGCTGCGGCTATGTTTATAAATGCGAGATAGTGAAACACAGTCATTATCAGGAAACTGCAGTTTCAGTTTGAAGCCACCAGGAGGCGCTGTAGTACTGACATCACATCATGACAGGGCTCAACGCTGCACAGACAACCTTCAATAAGCTGGACATTTGAGTTAAACACTTGGAATGAAAACAATCCTACAGAATATGCCGCTCAAATGACCGATTAACAATAAAACAACATCCTCCATATTAAACACAGCTTCTCCTACCTGCGCGTGGAAAAGGGCCAGTCCTTTAGCAGTATGCAGCGGGATGAGAACCTTCATCAGGAACTGCTTGTGCTCCGCCTTAAGAGGCAACGCAAACCCATTGATGATACTGTAAACAGAGAAACAGCAGGACAGTGTGAGGGAGATAAGTCAGAGACAAACACAAAACATGGAGTGTTTGCAGTAAAGCTCTGACAGAACAAAGACGTGTTTCTTTAATACAGATCATTTCAGTCTTTTAAAAACAGCTTGGCCTGGCGGCGATTCTAATTCTTTCTTTTAGTTTTCAAACGCAATATAACCAAATAAATAGAGGATGTAAAAAAGTACACAAAAGCCAGTGGCTGGACGTTTTACCTTTTCAAATGCATTAGTAGTTTATTTTGTAAGTTATTGACCATCTACCTCAATGTATCATGAAGAAGTCCAGACGTTTTGTTTAAATCCTCCGCATTTAAAGCTAATGACTTTTGTTCTTCTCGTGTAGCATTAAGGGACTACAACTTCAATTTGGTGTCGTAGAAGGAAAATAAATGAACCTGGGTAGGAATGGATATCAATGAACTACTCACCTTCCAAGGATTTCTAGAAGCTCAGCAACACCGTTGAAGTGCTCGGTTTCATAGATGAACCTACAACATAAATAACCGACAGACCCAACAGAGCACACAGATCAGAACTACGGATTCAGACTTCTCCAATACTGTGCTCCATCCAAATACTTTTACTATGACCTGATGACTCCCAATTGCACATGCAGTAAAAAAAAAACAAAAAAAAACACTGCACTCTTTTATTAAAGCCTTTGGTCCGTAAGTTTGGTAAGAACGCTTGAAGTCTGCCACATGAAGACAAAGCTTGCACAGGAAAACAGGCATCATTAAGTCACCAGGTCCCGTAAATTTTTTCTTATAAGTCTTATTTAAATATCCAACTAAAACGTCATATTTAGTGGCTGTTATGCAACCGAATGATCCAAACATCACTCCTCTGTTCGGTAACTCGGTTCCATCTCGCGGTGCAGCAGTCATACGTACAGACAGAACACAACAACTGTGGCACTATTTTTATTCTCAGCGGCAGACGGTCAAAGTGGATGCAGCCGCTTTTCCACCTTGCCGGTTGGAACCAGCATCGAGTGCCCCCGTTTAAAGAGGGTGGGCTTAATCCGTTTGTGTGTTTGCATTGTAATGCCAATAAGAGAAAATAGTGAAAGGAAATCCAATTAAGAAAAGAGGAAGACCGTGACCGCCTGGCGTTCCCCCGGCTCGTCGATTGCCGTTTTAACATTTTACTCACCGCAGGAAAATGTTGTTGATCTGCTTCCTGATGAAGGCACGCAGACCCAGGAACTTTCCATAGATGCGATGCAGAATGGTCTTCAGGAAGTCCCTCTCCCTCGGGTCCTCGCTGTCAAACAGCTCCAGGAGCTGAAAGCACAAACACAGTCTCCGTTTTTTCTATTTTTTGTTGTGAATTGATGCCACAATTACATCTTTACCGTGTCTTCTCACTGCAGTGTTGTCATGACGCCCTCACACTATGATATATTTGTTATGACAGCTGTATTTTACTAAATAGCTAGGACTGAACATTTATGGAGTTTCTTTGTACTTTTTGAAATACTTTCAATACAAATGCAGGGTTAGGTGGTAGGCAGATTCAAGTTTTCCCAAGTTGAAAACCTGGGATCGATACTTCTGGGTTCTGTGACAGCTTGTCGCCCACTTTCAGGCCAACATGGAAGACGGCTGAAACACTTCACACAGTTTATTTTTACCAGCCGTGATAATTAAGGGAACCGTATCTACTGATTCAAACTGTTTATTTATGTTATGGGTTTTGTAAAGGTCATCATTTTCCATTCCCCTCATTTCACCTGCCAGCACAATGGTAGTACTATTGAAGTCAAGGTACATCAGATAATTACAGAGGCCTTAATCTATAAATTGCCTAAAGGGGCATGTTGCATTTAGAGAACAGTGTTAATCTTTGACATACTATGGAAATGTTCCTAATCTCTCTGAAGGAATGTAGTCATTGTTTGCTGCGCTGTAAACAAATGTGCAGCGATGCTGTGTGGAAGGTATTTGGTTTACAGTACTTTCACCAATGTGATCAAGTACCTTTATTCGTATTTGTTATGTCATTCTATCAAACAGACCATTACCATCTGGTATTCTATCCATCAACCTGTGCCATATGAGGATTGTCTATGAATATAATTACGTAAATATATTGATCTTAGATAATTAATTAACTTGAAGTTTAAAAAGAAAATGCAATAAGAATTCTGGCTACCACCTCTCGGATGTTTGGAACAGTTGCTTTTGAATTTCTATACATTATCATAAATGTGATACTTGTGAATGTGATGCTATACTGACTGAATACACATTGCAATTAGGACAGGGCGGTATGGCCAAAAATTAATATTATAGTCTTTTGTAACATTCTGACGGTATCCCTGTATTTTTTTTTTTTCAAGTAAAAGACATTCATTCATCCATTGACTCCATTGACAAAAAGCTTGCAACATCCCGGCGGGTTAGCTTGTTGACGCTTGTTAGCTGTTGTTGCCACCAGAGGCAAAACCAAGTCAAGCATGATCGGCGTTGAGGTAATAAAAAAAAATATCTGCTGCCTGCTGACGAGCAACATCAGTGGTTATGGCTAAACACCGGTACGACCGGTGTGAAAATTCCTTTCGTGAGAAAATGTGATAACGCTAAACCGGTTGTATACCACTCAGCCCGAACTGCAATGGCCTGTGGGAATTGTGATGGATCTCCTTTTTAAATCACGTCATCTAGCCTTAAACAGCACGACACTCACTGCCTCATGAAAATATCACATTTAAATTTGGGTGGTATATTTAAATCGGACTACCCTTCAAACACATATTGACTTCTTTAGTTTAAAAAAACCTGCACAAGTTGCGTGAAGAGGAAACATTTGGAATACTTATGGCCCCGCCTGTATAAACAGTCACTCTGCTCATGTCATAGTTCTGAGAGGAAGATTATCCATAGTGCGATAATAAGACCATTACTGAAATTAAATGATAAAAGCTTGTCTGCCCACCTAACATGACAAGACTTCACAAACACACAAGAACCAAAAATGAGAAAAGTAAGCAAAACCATAACAACATCATCTAGTTTTTCTATTTCCAGAGAAAACCTCAGGCTCCATCCGACAGTTGCTGGACAATGTCACATGTTTCAGCTTAATGTTCATCTGTAATGCTTGAATCTAGTTTCTGAATGAACTTCAATCTGCAACGAAAATGAAAATAACTAATGAGAAGTTAACCCTAATACCATTTACCTTTTTTTGTGACTAAATGTCCTCAGATTGCTGCACCCTTTTTGCTTGGGATGGCCTTAAATACACAACACATCAAAGACACGGTGGAAACGTGCTGAATTACTTGCACACATACAGAGTTTGCTGTGAAGCAAACGTGTGATGCAAATAGGTTTACCTGGCGACCTTGTCCACATGTCACACACAGCAGTCTCACTCCATATTCACTCACCTGCTGTCGCATTGTGAGAAAAACAAATGCACTACCAATAAACCAGCGAGTACCGAGCACCGAGGCTACCGTGTATAATGGCTTTTGCTACCTCGGGATGTTGTAGGACAGGAATCATTGAGCCAGCGAGGTGACAAATCAAACTTGACATCGTTGCGCAACAATAAACACCCGTACAAAAGTCAAATGCCAATCATTTGCTCCGGGGTTCGTCTGAGGCTGGAATTAGTTTGAGATGTGAAGTGTTTCTGTATGGATGTAGTCAGCTAAAGCTAACAAGGGTCCCAGACTTTGTCTCTTTGTTTGGAGGACCTGACGCCTCCTTTTGTTGATCAGCACCTGTTTTTCTCAACGGTCCACTGAACATTCTGGCTGCTCTTGTGCTTCCGTCTCTTTGGTGATTATCTACGATACCGTCTGAAGACATATTCCTCTGCGTCTTATGACGACCCACGTTAACCTCGCCTTTATTGCCACCCAAAACCTATACCTCTTCGCTCCCTTTGCTCCAACCACAGCGCTCCTCTCAACCTGAAGAGTAAACACCCAGCAGCTATTTAAAGCTGCCTCACGACACATTCACATCATGGAAAGTCGGCACAGGCACCTCGGATGTGGCCCCGGCCAACATTCCTGGCCCCGAATGAGGCATTCCTGCGCAAGGTGGGTATGGAGCAAGAGCAGATGCAGCCAAGCTGCAGCACATTAATGGTTTCACTCGTCAGACTAATGATACCGCAAAAGTCTCAAAAGCCATCACGCTGTGCTGTAATTACGGGTATTCCCCACTTTATAAATTCTAGTAATTTGAACATCCGTTACAGCCGATTAAAGTCATTGTGAAATGTGAATATTTTGGTTCCTTGTCTTTGGGTTTTGCACTGTCGGTGACACCAGAAAAAACATTTAAAAAAAACATCGCAATGGACTTTAAAAAAAATGGTAGAGGACAATTCTCCCAATTTGCTCCACAAAATGGATCGAATGAGCCAATTATCCATTCTCAATGTCACAAATCTACAAACTTGGTAGTGTCCTTGAATCATGGAGGTAATTAAACTAAACTTTTAGGAATATTAATATTTTTAAGTGATCTTAAATAGCATTTTGAGAGAGAGAGAGAGAGATTTGCGGTCTTGGTCTTACTTATTTTTGTTGTTAAATCAGTTTAAACTTAATTAAATGGCCTATACAAGTAGTTATGTCTCGTATTAATTTGTCCTGTTATTGACGTGTCTAATGCGCAACCTATAAGCGAATATTCAAACGTCATTTTTGAGCAATTTTGACAGCCCTAACTAGCTGTAACTGAAAACATCTTGGTTTAATAGACTAAAGTTTCATTTGTACCTGATGTTACCGTGACACAATCATCATGAATAAAAAATATATATATTATGTCTCCTACCTGCAGAACAAACTTCTGGTCAATGTGGCGCTTTGCGATGCTCGGCTGGAAGTCCGGATTCTCAAGAAAGCGCAGCAGAAACTCGTAGACCAGCTGGAATATTAAAAAAAGAAATAAAATAAAAATATAGAATTAATGCCTCGCAGTGGTAGTTTACATGTTGGTTCTAATTGTAATCCCGATCATTTAATTAAAAGGGTCAGAAATAGAAAGAAGATTCTTGAGTTCCAAGGAAACAACATGCAATGATGTATTCAAAAGGTCGAGCAAGACAGACTCACTCGGTCTCTGACTCGTACCTGAACGTGAGGCCAGGACGCCTCTAGAGTGGGTTCATCCTCCTCTGGGTCAAAATCAGGGTTGTCACTCGGTGGAAGAGTCCGGAATATATTGGTGCAGATCTGGAGGAGAATTAAAAAGGATTAATAAAAATTAAATACGAAAAACATTCATCGCAGGAGTGTGTGGGAAAAGGAACATCAGTGCCTCAAACATGCAGGGCCGTTATGAGTAGAACAGTGAAATGTGATGGAGTTTAAGGCAATAAGTCTGCCTAATGCCCATAAAGCATAAAATTTAAAGTTTAATTAGGTTTCCAGTGCTCCACACAGACTATAATTAAACAAGCTGGTTGTAGCATTATTCTAAAACATTCTGTAATTGATGGGCCTGATTGCTTGCTACACTCCCCACCTTACTATTTTCTTATTTTTCAAACCGCATACACCATGTTGTGCATTGTGAATGAATAAGACTAGTGATTGTGTCTGGAGGACACGTAACTCAGACAAGAATAAAAAGGCACTGGCCTCCCCTTTTTGTGAATCAAGGAAAGAGGAATCTAATAAAAACACAAATGCATTAACACTACTGGCAGCTAACTCATTGCAGTGGAAAGGAGCTTCTTTTCTGGACTATTTCTGAGCATGCTTAATTCAACGGAGGATGTTATATAGCAGAACCAAACCACGGTGGGGACTTTATAAATCTGTAGCGAAGACGATCCTTGTCAACACGTCATCGCCAACTCTATTCCAGCAAGTTATATTTAGCAGGAAGTACATTTGAGCGAGCCACACAGAGTTGGGGTAGTTGCATTTTTATCTACGGCAAACCCATTGTAGCCATAGCTGGACTGTTCAAAAAAATTATTCCAAATTTCTGAATATTTTATTTTTTATTTATGCTTTCTTGGTAGTATCACACATTGCTCACCGACATTTACATGATTTGACTGCAGCTCTTTACACAAATCAAAGTTGCAATCATATACTATAATATTCCTGGAGGCATAAAGAGACATCAAGCTGGTGGGAGAAGAAGACTGGGTGCACTCGGTCAGCAACAATGTGACATTCAGATGATCCACTTTTGATTCTCACACGACCAGTTTAGTGGATCTTGGCATGAGCTCATAGGAACGGTTCCCAGCATGCCCTTGTGCTGCTGTAGCCCGTCTCACCTTCAAGGCTGAGAGAGCCGTGCACTCAGAGGGGCCATTCGGCTCGCCACTGCTGCACTGAGCTGTCATTTGCCTGTTATTTTAGGGTGCCCGGACAGTGTAAGTGCAGCTGTTTCTTGGCTGATGAAAACACCATCTGGACACGACAATTGTACAAACAGTCTTAAGCCAAATGGGAAGAGATCCCACTGACTGCAGTTCGACTGAATTTCTGTCCGTGACAACTCTGCACTAAGGTTGCACAAATAAGAATGCACGACACACCCACAAATCTGAAACTGGCAACTTACTTGTTGCCACCCCTACCATTACATCAGTGGGGTGCCTAGGATATAATTTAACCTGAATGCAAACCAAGACAATAACCCTGCCATTAAAGCATAGTACAGAGCTATTAATGCTCTGAATATTAAATAGAGACCCTTTAAAACAACTGATTGTTTATCAATTATTAGATCAGGGTTTTCTTCACTGCAGCAGCTTCCGACTCGTCTCACTCGACAGACTCTGCTCACTTGTTGGCCCCATTTGTGTTATATTTCTGTGATCGTCTACTGTATTAGTCTTAAGTCACAGTTTCTGACATGGGCAACAACAAGCAAGCCTTTTACTTAGACCACATAAATTGTACATTGCAATTTTTTTATAATCATCTGTATGCTGATAATGACGCAGTTGAATCAGTGTGTCAGCTCTCCGTGGCATATCACTTAGCATTCCCCGGTGTGAGGCCTCTCATTGGCTGAGCTCAAATCAGATGACTCACTGAGTGGGTTGCCAGGCGGGAGATTGTGCCTCAGTGTAATGACCGTTTTTCCAGGAAGAGAGATGGGAGGCAAAATGCTCAGTGGGTGAAGATGACTTGTGGTGTGGATGGCATTTGGACATGTGAGCATAACCTAAAAAAACAAATGGCCTGGTATTCCCGGTATGGTGCAAATATTGTTACTCTAGTCTTTAGTGAGGGAATTGATTAGTATATGTATTGGCCTTCAGCAGGAGGTGCACGTAGAGAGACACGTGTCGAGTAGGACAAGTGGATGCTATTATCCTTAAAACGATGGAAAGTTAGGTGGCGTAATTTGCGGCGCCGATGGAGCAACCGCAGCAGATGTGACACACATCGCTTGGCAACAATTAAGGTGCTTTAAACTCCAGAGCATCTCATTGTTGCACTTTGTGCCAAAACAGCGTACTAATTCTCTATTTCCAAACTGAATAGGTCAAATATATATTTTTAGATCCAGTGTATATACAAAGACATCATTATCTAGAATGCCCACAGCAAAAATCACATCGATGAATGTGCTTAAAAAAGGCCACTCCTTATTAGTTGCTGACGGCTCACTCGGCATGCGTGTAAACAAAAGTAGAAAAACATGGCTCAAGTTGTGGCCCACAGCTAAGTCTCCATGGCAACGTATGCACTGGACTTTGTATTCAAGTGAAGCTAAGGCCCGAAGTGTCTAAAACTTGCATTCTCTCTAGTGGCCAACTGGAGGCAACACCTCTGGTTGAAGAAAAAAAGTTGATCGTTTGGAAGCAAAGAGAAAGGGAACTTACTTCTCACTTATTACTTCAGTAACTATGGTAAACATGAGCTTAGGGTCTCAATCACTAGTTTAGTTTTCTCCAAGACAGCATGATGTTAATGTAGTGAATGATGTTCCCGTTGGGAGTAAAATAGACCATAAAGCGGAGTATGCTTTAGGGCGGGGCTACGTTGTTATTGACAGGTCGCCGACGGCAGCAGAGCCTTATATGCCAACATAGAGCACACCTCTTCAGCCCAAACATCGTGACTTCTGTTCATTGGTTGCAAAAAGCCAAGATGGCAATGGGCAGATCGCCAAACTTGATACTACAAAAGGGCATTCCACAGAGCAACGGGATGTCACGGTGACTAAGTCCACTTTCTACATACGGCCTTTCACTGGAAATTGCAGTATAATATGTAATGGCTATAATAATAGCAATATAATACGGCAAAGTAAAGAGGAGAGGGGGGGGGCGTTTTTAAGTGACGATGCAGAAAGTGAACCCAGTGTACACCTGACGACGACAAAAGGAAGCTGGAGCTCTGAATGGGGTAAAAGTAAGTGTGACGATATTAGCAACCAACACCTAGCAACGCACAGAACGAGGGAGAAAAAGAAAACGAGACAAAGAGGGAGAGAAAAATTGCACAAGGATTGAGCCATTACGAGAAGGATGAAGAGAGGTGAGAATTAAAAGAAAATAATTGGGGAATTATGGCTCAAAGATGCTTTTTATTAACTAACCCTGCGGGCTATTCACACATCTCTGGCACAGAGAAGATAGAATACAAACAACGCTGTCTGGGAGATGAGATTCTCTATTAGAAGCACTAATTATAGAATTGGCAAATAAGGCAAAACCTCCTTTCACATAGATGAGAAACCTGGCTGTTTGTACTACTCACAACCTCTGATCAAAGCGGCGCTCGCCGCGGCGGCATAATGCACGGCACTTTAAACCCTCACCCCTTCATGATAATGTGACGCCAAGCACGGAGTATCCGTGAGAGACATTATCAACCTGCACCGCTTGAGTGCAGCTGCTCTTTGCTTAACCTCGTTCAAAACACTGCCTCTGGGATCAGAATTGGGTTCCTCCTGAGCTCGACCCACTACGGCGTTACCCAGAAGGACCGGTGACAATACCGGTACAAGTCCTCCTGCAAGCAGCAGATGCAGCGCTGAGCTGCTCGTTGTCCAGCTGACGACCAGTTTCTCACACACCTCCATTCGGGGCGTTTCCCTGCCGGCTGTTTTGTTTTTCTCTGCCTCAGCACGATGTTTTGCATTAAAAATGGAAAATAAATTAGTTTTTATTTTTATTTTGAAGGAACCGCTTCTGGACAGAGTGATTTATAAATGTTGTAGAATGTTATACTTTTAAAAATAACTGCTCCAGGTAAGTATGATCTATCACTGTGATTTCATGTGAGAGTATATCCAAATGAATTTTGATGATTTTCCTCCTGACATCGTATCACGCTTACTGCCTGTGTTGGCACATTGAAAAGCTAATAATTCAACATTTCACAAACACTACAGTATTCAGTGTATCCATCCTGTAATTAACACCAGGTTTATAGGTTTGAAAAGATATGTTGGCTGAAATGTATCTATATTTAGTGATGTTCTGTTCATTTGAGCTCTTTTTTTGCTGGGCTTGATTGTAGAGATTTACGGCTTTACCATCTAACAAAGTGAAGGCAGAGGGATAGTATTTATTTTAATTATGGTGCCATTAGCTTCCATAACTTATCATTTAAAACCTGAATGATGTCCTTTGCTGGGACCGGTACATTGTCAGGGTGCAGCATGTCGCTAATATACACTGTACCTAAACACAGATGTTAGAGGTTTAAACCATTTACATTAAATGTTAGATGGCTGACAGCATTACCGGTGAACTTTACCCTCCTATTCCATGTTCGCTTTTCCTCCCTGCTGCCAATGTTTGGCAAAGTGCGTTGGCACTAGCTGACTGGTTTCTGTTTTTACATTAGTTATTATAACTGAAGCACTATTGGTGTTTGTGGTAATTATCTTATTGGATGTGGCCCATTTCTTGATCACTGTAATTAGACATCTGAACCACAAGACGACAAATGCTTGTGGAAATAAGTGCGGTTTCCTTAATGTGACGGCCGAGTACTCAGGAAAGGTTCCTGTGAGTATTTTGGTTGAAAATGTTTTAGACTTTGTACTTGGAGCTCACATTGCTTTGCTTCTAGTCAGGTGATTTATATTATCCAGATTAGACTAAATACTTTGAGCAAAAATGCAGGTGGTGCAACAATGCTTGACTAGTGAATAAAAACGCATAATTCTCAAAGTGTTAAGTTCCCAAAATAATAATAAAAATAGGAGGCTCTTGTCTCCTAACCCACTTGTGATAATGGTTCAAGTTGCATTGTTGTGTACTCATTTTGTGAAAGATATTTTCAACAACTTTCGAAGACTGAAAGCTCTTCTAATCCATTTCGTATTGCTGCCCATCGCTTATAAACTGCTTAAACTAAATAATCTTGACACAAAAACACCTTTAACAAGGCAACAGCGAGAGACAAACAGTTCTAAATCAATAGTTGCAAGGTATGACCTGGATTACTGCCTGCAGCCCATTGTTAATCTGAAGAATAATTGAGCTGTGCTCATTCGCATCCACCAGGATAATCTGCAGTGTGGCGTGAATCACTGCAGCCCTGTAAATGTTGCACATGAGTCATTATTGTACTGTAGGAGGAAACTAGGCTGCTCCATATACAATGATCAATACCACGCTGGCCTCACATACTTTGCAGAGGGTCGGGTTGGATTTAAAAAAGACTATTGTGTAATCACAAAGTGTTAATCACTCAACCCTGACCGTAGTTAACTTGGCCCCGCACTACTGATTAATGGAAATGCTGCATGTTGCTGGATAATACATTTGTAGAATATTACTAAATATTATTACTAAAGCACCAGTGTGTCAACTCCACACTTCACTGCTGTGATGATGTCTTTCTGGTAGTCCAAAACAAGGAAATTGTATATGGAGAGCACTGTGTCTTCTGGTTTGGATTCAAAAGAGGGATTTAAATGAGTTAGATGAGGATATCTTGCAGAAAAGGGTCTTGTGTCTTGTTTGACTTTGCCGTTTAGCTTGCAGTGTGTTGTATACACTAAGTTTTAAACTGGGTTTGAAGTCTTATCTTCTAAACGTCAATCAGTGGATTTTTTCAGCAACTGTCTGTATGACTCCTACTGCAACCAAACCTCAAACCTCCGCAAAAATAATCAAGGGCAGCAGTATTTCCCCTTGTACTGCTTCATGCGTGAGTCACCATTATATATGACTTTTATAGGAGTAGCAGCTGCTGCTAGGAGACCGTGTTGACAGACAGCAGCTATCCCTCATAATCAAACATGTTTTAAGAGAAAGCTGAGAAAGCACAATAACAAATACGTGTCAGCCATAAAGTGTATTAACTCGTGCATGTATTGTATTTAGAGAGTGATGCAATGACACCCAGATTATTGGGCCATTATATATGGGATTTTGTCCTTGAATGGAACCAGTATTCAAGTCAGGAGTGACAACGTTAAAATGACAGAGTGACATCTCTTTAGCCGTTTTATAATATTTGTCATAACATGACAGATGTACGGCCTGTTTCTGTGAGTGCTCACCATATTGGTGATCTCTGGGTAGGTGGATTCCACCAGCACCCCTCTGTTGGTGGAGACGTAGTCCACCAGCTCGTTGAGAGTGGCCCGCTTGATCTCCTTGCTCTTCAGGTCCATCACGGAGTCCAGGAAGTCAAAGAGCATGCAGCACTGCTGGAGTTTCTGGGTGAACAGTTCCTGCTGCTCCGTGGAGGGGGCATCTGGAAGCACACCAAAGAAAAAAAGGACTGAGTGATTTAGACACACATACCGTAAGGACCGGTTCAAACGGCCTACAGGTGCGACGGGAGGGGTTCCACAAGGTGAGGGCACTGTAGGAATTGTAAACTTGAGCAATTCATTAAAAGGGGCATGGGTTGTTTGTTTTGAACATGTTCAAATGAACAGTGAGCAGATCAGAGTAAAGAAAAGAAAAACAGCCCTATAAATGTAACATCTTGCAGGTTTATTGCACAGTTAACCGTCCGACTCAGCTGCTGGACAAACAAACAACCCGGATACATTTAGCCACGCAAAGGTCCTCGGCTTTGATTGTAAAGCCTTTTGTGGATTAGACGGTGAGTGTGATCAGGGTTATTAGAGCTGTCAAAATTTGACCCCGGCTCAGCTATAAACAGCATTTGGAGGCCGTACACGCCATACAGTGATTTCCTGTTCCAGCCGAGCAGTAGACACAGGGACCTCTCCCGCTAATGGAGGCCAGAGGACACAGTAAAGTAAACCAGCACTGCAGGTCGGATTTACAACAGCTCCAGCACCACAGACTACGGGTACGCAAATAGGGACGCCGTGGGTGGCACCCGTCGACTTTGAGAAGCCGATTAATCTCATCGTGTCATCTGGGTTGATTAAGTTGAGCAAAAAGGAGAAGTGCCGGTTGAGACGTGACACGGCGCAGTGTTTCTTGTTGAGCAGCATTATGCAACTGAGACAAGTCACGGTCAGGCACAGGCGGAATATTCACACAACGCCTCACACCTTGTGAAATGTTCCAGCGGTGTTGACAGCTGAAGAAGTAGTTACGCAACTCTACAGGTCAGACCACTTGCTCCTGCTCCGAGTGAACTCAATGTCTGCACCCAGCTGAGCGCTCTAATTTGTCTTAATGCCAAAATTTACAAGGTACAAATTCTCCAAAGCATGTTGCATTCAAAAGGGCTGACAGAGTATCTAACTGGGACCAGAAAGGAAAAGGATAGGGGGAAGGGCCCCAATGAAACCACTAGGTTTGCCTTTACATTTCTACATAGCTGGTGTAAGAGGTAAATGATATCATCCAAAAGGGGCATAAGACTCCTAGCTAAAATTGTTTTGGCTCCGGCGATCACCATCTTGGCAGTGTCGACTCCGCCTGATTGTAAAGAGGGGCTGAGGAGGAGGATGGGGGGAGGCTGAGACGACTTGGCTCATGCATCAGAGCAGACAGCAGCACTCACCTGTCACTCAGAGTAGCTATGCCACGACAGCACCTAAGTTTAAGCGTTTACAGCATTAGAATGCCTCAGTTATGTCAAAAAATTTACCTCCCGTATCATTGTCATGAACTACTCATACTGCGATGCAAACATGCATTTCTGCTGTAAAAGGAATTTAAACACTGGGCAGTGTACTCTGACCAGTCTCTGGAGATTGACCGGTCAGGGTCATGAAATCAAAAAGTGAAACTACTTCTGTGAGTCTCCACTCTAAAGCTTTTTTATTTTTGTGGATATTATATTTATTCTCTCTATATAAAGCATGCTCCTCAACCAGATCGGTCATGGTCATGCATGTTCCCCGTTTCTGCAAACCACACCAGCCTTTCACGCATTTCTAATGCGTTTTCTGAAAGAGCATCTTTTCTTCAAAAGGGATTTGTCGCCCCCCCCCCCCCCCGAGAGCAGAGTCGGCTGGGCCTGTTAGATACAGTTTGACATGTTAGATGCTTTTAGCAATGTGAAGCTATTTTTGCTTTTCAGATACAGATGCATGAGTGCACAAATTCCTCAGAGTGCAATGAGGGAAGATTTTCCATTGGAGCTACGAAGCAATGTATGAAAACAAGAGGAAAGCCTTTTAGGACATCAGATCGACAATCCAAATGAATCGAGCTGCATTCTATCAGCATGGATTTAGTTTCCTTCAAAATATTTTACCTTGGCATCACAATGTGGCAGATATACTGCATATTCTGTGTCTTACACAAAGCTTCAGAATCACCTAGACAATTACCTGTAAGCAATGCAATTTCCTAACCACACATGGGAACACAAAATCGAAAAACTTCCCGGTTGAAGTGGAGAAACCGTACACGAGAGGATGGATAAATGATTCCTTCTTTAGTTAAGCCTAAATAAGACTGAGGGCTTAATGGTGCCCCTTGATCTCTGTGGAGATGTGTGTCTTATAGACTAACTACTGTATCTTTTGAGAATCAATTATTATACTGAGAGGAACTGGGAATTACAGGTTTAACCATTCATTACCTTTCTAATACCTCAAAGTGGACAGCACAACGACAAGCATAATTCCTTTGTACAAAGCATAGAAGAACAGAAGCGGTTAGAAAAGTCAAATGTCTAACAGCATCTATAGAGAACTTTGCACTGCACTGAAGCCATATGGTACATTCACACCAAAAGCGAAGCGCGACTAAAGCGGGTTTTCGCATTATTCACGCCTGGAAGAAGGCGTGGCTTATCTCCGTTACGAGTCTCCGTAAAGACAGTTATGGTTTCCGCTATCCAATATGGAAATAAATAACCACTATTTCTGCTCTTTATTTGTTGTGTGAATTACACAAACGTGGGAACCGCAAACGGTGTCGTGTTCGGGTTCATGACATCATCAGTCATCGCACACAGCTTGAATTCCACCGACTCCTCCGGGAAGTGCGTCTGGATGACTGCGGCTTCCAGAGCTGCTTCAGGTGGACCAGCAGCCGGTCTGTTGACCTGTTGGGTCGGCGACGGCGTCTCTCAGACACAAACTAACTTACAGGCGTTCAGTCTCAGCAGTGTGTGTCTCCGTTTAATAACGTGTATTCACGCTGTGGCAGCAGGACGGCGGTGATGACGAGCGGAGCATCAACACGGATTGGCTTTCGCAAGACCGCGTCAGACGAACGAGCGACTTATTCGCTTCGCTCGATTCGCGTCCCACGCCCCACCCGTTGAAAATTCGCCTCATTCTCGACCAGACGCGTCTGTGCATTGAATATACTCGCGCGAATAATTCGCTTCGCTTTTGGTGTGAACGTACCAATAGACTTCAAGCACATTGGTATTGCTGGAATAAGAGCAGAGAGGAACACACACGCCTAAAATAGATTGGGGCTTTTTTCTGCTTGTGTGAGAAAGACAATACAGAAAGAAACTTGGCACCAGATCTGCTCCGTATTTAGCCACAGCAGACTAGATGCTGCTGACAGTCATAATGTACAGAACAAATGTTACATAAACTATTCAGTGATGGTTTTTTTCTGAGTCTCATTTCATGTTTTTTCGACCTACTATAAATGAGTCAGTACCACATCACTCGGAGATAAATACTGTTTGTTGGGATTGTTATGTGTCCTTGTTGTAGTAAAGCAGGTTTAGCAGGCTGCGCATTGTATGATACTGCCTTTTCCAAATACCATAATAGCAAGACTAGTAGTAAGTCTAAAGGCTGGCGCATGCTTCTGCCTTCAATTCATGGTTCTGCGTGTGTTGCAGAGCAGTCTATTTATTATTTGTTTATTTATCATAGACTTTATTGCCCCGTGCATCGCCACTGCTGCTTTTCATCGCGGACACATTTGTCCCGTATTTTCCTCCACAGCTTTGTGCACCTCTCGACCGGCAAACCGGCGTTTGCGGCGACCTCCCTCCGCGAAGCCAACCCGCTATACAAGCAGTCATTGGCGGGTTGTATAAGCGGTCGTATTTGCGCATTTCTTACGACAAAAGTTCTTAAATTTGATCCGTTCTCTCGTAAATATTCTTCGTTTTAATAATGGCGGTATCGGGCTATGAAAGCGGAAATGTGAGACTCCGTAAAGGATGTAGTTAGCGGACCAATCGCAGCCTTGTGCGCTGAGGGAGGCTAGAAAAATGGCTCGACACACGCAAGAAGGCGAACTTAAAAGCGACGCAAGGGACACGCAAGGGGGTCTTGCGTCTGCGTCGCTCTGAAAACGCAGAAGCATAAATCAGGCTTTATTGTTCATGTGCTAAAATAAAAAAAAGTCGCTATACCACATTCAGAGCATTCATGTTGCAGCAAACAACATCAGCTATCGAGGAGTCAACGCTAACCTTTAACTACCTAGACTTCAGCAGCCTGCCAAAGTCAATTTCTGTCCCGCCATCCTCATGAACCGGAAGTGTAGTTATGTTTCTCAACCCGTGGCGTGCCGGGCACATTTCCTTCACAGCAGTGATCGGCCCTTGAGTCGGCTTTCCAGCGACCCCTCACCCTCACTGTGAGGCTTCACCGGGCAGTGAACTTTTAGTTCTCCCTGTGTGTGTGTTAACCAGGCCAGACGGTCCTCAGGGAGCGGTCTGCAGCGAGCTCTACGAGCACGGACCTTACTAAGACTACCCGGCTTTGTGAGTTTACCCTTTCTTCTGGGGGGAGCCTAGTTGAGAGCTGAAGAGGCAATTGACAAGCTCTAAATCTCATACCTAGCACCTAGAAATTACTGCCTGAATATGAAGGGGTCGGGGTTAAAACAGTAAACTAGTCTTTCAGTTATATTTTAGCTTAACAACTGAAATCCATTGACAAAATGAAAAGACAGATTTGTAGTGTGAACATATAAACCACCATGATGGCAGAAACACTGGTGGTCTTGACCTATTTCCTTGACTGGTTACATGAACAGACATATACGTATAGTATACTTCAGGAATCCTAAGCTCAACCACATTGATTCAAAACTTATTTCCACCAATTTCTGTCTTTTTGGTGCCCATCAACATTTCCAAGAACTACAGTAAAGCAGAAACTAAAACAAAATATGCAGGTCCAGTGACCTCAGTACGGTGACAGATTAGAGCTGCACAGGACTGTACAGTTAAGAGTTACGGAGATTGGTCTCTTTCTGCACACCAAGCTGGCCCAGATACAAATCTACCTGATGGAATTGGTCGGATTAGATGGTTCCACACGCACAATTTCATTTTTTTTTTTTTAGATTGCACGATGTACTTTGTGAATTGTGAACTTGTATCTAGGT